TACTCAGGAGGCTGAGGCAGGAGAATCAGAGAATCGCTTGAACCTGGGAGGCAGAGGTTGCAGTGAGCAGAGAGATCATGCCACTGCACTCCAGCCTGGGTAACAAAGCCAGACTCTGTCTTAAACAAAAGGAAACAAAACAAAAATGATGTAGCGATTTTAAATAACGCACATTTGTTAGCTCCCAATTCAGTAGGTCAGAAGCCTGAGTGGGCTCCACTTGCTCTCTCCTCTGGGTTTCACAAGGCTGAAAACAAGGTGCAGCCCCTGGGCTCTTGTTGGGAGGCACAAGGGAGAATTCACTTCCAAGCCTACTCCTACTGCTGACAGAATGCAGTTCTTTGCAGCTCAAGAACTGAGGTTCCCATTTCTTTGCTGGCTGTGTACTGAGGTCCACCCATCGCTCCTAGAGGTCTCTCTTGGGCCCTTGCATGGGGCGCCTACATTTCAGAGCTAGCAAGAGTGCATCAAATCCTTACACTTGGGGTCTGACTTCCCCCTCTGCTACATCTTTTATTCTAGCTGGGGAAAGTGCTCTGCTTTTGTAATTAGACCGAGCTAACTCCCAATACTCCAGGAAAGTCTATGACCTGTGACTATGGACTTTGCCATGTAAGGTAACATAGTTACACATTCCAGGGATTAGGGTGTATTTCTGTTGGGGCCCATTCTTCAACCTGTTACAGACAGTTAGACAGGCATGAGTAGGGCAGGAGAGGGCTCTCCCCTGACCCACCAGGAATGTCAGGAGATCATCAGGTCCTGGTTCAACAATGATCACACTGCCTGTCTCAAAATGATAACTCAGCAACTGGCGCCAGGGACAGACAATCTCCTGATGGTCCGCAGCTGTTACATTGGAGTGTTAATTGAATGCAGGTGCCAGGGAGAAGCAGCCAGGGCTTCCAATAAAATATCAGGTATTGGCTGGGCACGGTGGCTCAAGCCTGTAATCCCAGCACTTTGGGAGGCCGAGATGGGCAGATCATGAGGTCAGGAGATCGAGACCATCCTGGCTAACACGTTGAAACCCCATCTCTACTAAAAAAAATACAAAAAACTAGCCGGGCGACGTGGCGGGCACCTGTAGTCCCAGCTACTCGGGAGGCTGAGGCGTAAACCTGGGAGGTGGAGCTTGCAGTGAGCTGAGATCCGGCCACTGCACTCTAGCCCAGGCGACAGAGCCAGACTCCATCTCAAAAAAAAAAAAAAAAAAAAAAAAAAATCAGGTATTGGGCAAGTGAGCCTGAGCATGTGCATTAAGAGACAGAATGGTGGAGTATGACCTCCCGGCGGCTCTCCGCCAGGAAAGGGAAGAAGGCCTCAGATGGGCGTGCATACAGCTTCCTAAACATACCGCACATGCTCACCTCCCCAGTGTGAAGAAAGCACTACACTCGTGGGCTGCCCACCCTAAGGGAAGAATCATGGGGAAGGGGTGCAAGATGCCAGAGGTGGGCCAGCATAGAAAGTCCTAGAATCACAGTTAAACAGGGCACTTGACCCGTTATACACACATATATGGTATATACATATTATACATAGAGTATACATACTCTATGTATATCCTGGGCATGGTGGCATGTGCCTATAGGCTACTCAAGAGTCTGAGGCAGGAGGATTGCTTGATCTCAGGAGGTCAGGGCTGAAATGAGCTGTGATTGTGCCACTGAACTCTAGCCTGGGCAACAGAGACCCTGTCTAAAAAACACATACATATACACACACACACACGTGCACTATACATATATAGTATATACATACTTCACACACATATAGTATATACACACTACACACACATATAATATATACATACTATATATAGTATATATCATGTATAGTATATACATGGTATATATACATACTATGTATAGTATATACTACGTAAATATATATTATACATGTATATATACATACTATGTATAGTATATACTATGTAAATACTATATATAGTATATATAGTATATATACATACATATATAGGTATACATTACTTTATATACATATATACATATATGCATGCATCTATATGTATATACATATATGTATGTATACACATAGTAAAATGCATATATACATGTATACATATATGTATACAACATGTATATACTATAGCCATATGTGCATATATACATATATATACTATATATACTCTATACTATGTAGTATATACATAGTATATTGCATATGCTATATATGTGTATATATAGCATGTACTGTATGTGTGTATATAACATGTATATACTACATATGTGTGTATATAGTTTGTATATACTATATGTGTGTATAATATGTATATATTATATATTTATAGTGCATGTGTGTGTACATATATATACATTTTTTTAGATAGGGTCTCACTCTGTTGCCCAGGCTGTAGTGCACAATCACAGCTCACTTCAGCCTTGACCTCCTGGGCTCAAGCAATTCTCCTCCCTCAGCCTCCTGAGTAGCCTACAGGCACATGCCACTATGCCCAGCTAATTTTTAAAAACTTTTTGCAGAGACAGGGTTTTGCTATGTTGCCCATGCTCCAGTCAGATTTTCTCAGGAATGTAACTTAGCCCCTTGTTTCTCTTTTCTTTTCTTTTCTTCCTTCCTTCTTTCTTTCTTTCTTCCTTATTTCCTTTCTTCTTTCTTTCTTTTCCTTCCTTCCTTCCTCTCTCACTTTTTTCTTTTCTTTCTTTTTCTCCTTCCTTCCTTTGCTTTTTCTTTCTTCCTTTCCTTTTTCCTTCTTCCTCTTCCTCTTGCACTTTTTCTTCTTTCTTTAAGTTTTTTAAACATTTATTTATGTATTTATTAGAAACAGGGTCTTGCTCTGTGGACCCGGCTAGAGAGCAGTGGCAAGATCACAGCTTACTGCAGCCTCCAACGCCTGGGCTCAAGCAATCCTCCCACCTCAGCCTCCATGTAGATTTCATTCAGTGTTAGTGTTTGGCTGTTATAATGGTGTTTTGAACCCACTGTTGTGACCTGACTGATGTTTTGATCTCCAAGACACCTTGACTGCATATGTATGTATGTACGTAATATGAACAAAAATGATAAATTACATATTATTCACAATTTCATTTTTTTCTCTGGCAGGGTAAGGAAGGTTTTGAGGTTGGGCATGGTGGGCTCATGTCTGTGGTCCCTGAGCTTTTGGAGGCTGAGGTGGGAGGATTGCTTGAGCCTAGGAGTTCAAGGCTGCAGTGAGCTATGACCGTGCCACTGCACTCCAGTCTAGGAGACAGAATAAGATCCTGTCTCAAACAAACAGTTTTGGTTGCCAATTCAACAGCATCCAGCTGCTGCCAATATTATTATACGTTTTAGAAAAATCCACTGGGGGAGAGGGAGAAACGAGGGAGGAGTCCGTATTTCCTGGAGAGGGAGAATGAAAATGGTGGTGGCTGAGGCAAAGAGGCTGAAAGAAAAGTGCTTGCCCGTGGCAGGGTCCAGGAGGCATTCTGGTGGGGAAGCTCAGGGTATGGAGAGAAAAACCGTAGCTTTTTTGTTTTGGAGAGGGAGTCTCACTCTACTGCCCAGGCTGGAGTGCAGTGGTGCAATCTTGGCTCACTGCAAGCTCCACCTCCCGGGTTCAAGCAATTATCATGCATCAGCCTCCTGAGTAGCTGGGATTACAGGTGCACGCCACCACACCCACCTGGACAACTGGCCATCAAGACCTTCCATCGGGTAACAGAACCACATCACACCTAGAACCAAGTCCAAAACGTCCTGTTTTTTACTATGTAGCCCGTTGCTCTCAAGCAGATTTCTTAGCGCTGCCTTCTGGCCAGATCAAAGCCATCTCCTCCAGGAGGCAGTAAAGACTTTAACCTTGTTTAAAAAGAAGTCTGGCCTTGCCTTCTCCTTCTGGAAGGCAATCTTTGTTTGCCTGAGAGTCTTCGGCTAGTCAGAGAGTAACAGTGTGATTTATGGTGGGGGCTTAGGGTTACATGGATATCACTTAACCAAGAAGCTGAAATCAACCATGAGAGCAATCAAACCATCAATCAATCACGCACGTGCAATAGAGCCCAGTAAAAGTTCTGCAGATGACTGGCGGTACTTTGTGTGTATGACCACACATCAGTGCAGGGCAGGTAATGAGGCCTGACTACACAGGGAGAGGACCACCGGAGGACCTCGAAGCTCCACGCTGTAATTCCCAGACTTCCCCATCTGCCCTTCTTCCTTGGCTGATGTTAATCTGTACAATTTCCCTGCTAAGAAACCATAGTTGTGAGTACAGTAGTTTTTAGTGAATTTTGTGATTCCTTCTAGCAAATCACGGAACTTGAAGGTGGTTTTGGAAACCGCTAGAACTTGCCGTTGGTGTCGGAGGTGATGGTGGTCTTGGGGACTGTTCCGCCAACCTGCGTAGTTCACCTAAGCTCCTGCACCTTCGTGACGACCTCTCTGCCGGTTCTTCTCTGCGTCCATGCCCTTATTTTCTTTTCTCATTTGTCATTTATTTGTCTATGCCTGTATTGCCTGTTTCTCCTGCGAGAACTGCATCCCAGGGCTGGGCCTGCGGGCGCTCTTCCCGTTGCCGCCCCCTACCATGTTATGCTCCTTGAGCATCACGTGTGGTACCCGATCTCCTCTCCTTCATTCACACCCGAGGCTGGGCGTGGACACTTAAAGAGAAGGTTCGGCACATCTATTACCCAAAGCTGCACCCCGCACATTCCGGGAGCTTTGCTCTTCGTCACTATTCGTTGAATGCTCTACATTGTAATAAATAAAATAACGAGTGTGAAAGCATAAAAGCACATCAAGAAGAGACAACCACCACCTATAGCGGACCGGCCAGCCTGGGGCTCGGCCGGGCCCCACCCCTCCCCCCGAGGCTCCTTCCCTCCCCGCCCAGGCCCCTCCCCTCCCCGCCTAGGCCCCGCCCTCCCCGCCTAGGCCCCGCCCTCCAGTCCCCGCCCCTCCGGGCTCCCGCAGGAAAGCGCCGCCACCGTGTGGGTGGGTGCGGGGCGCGGCGCGGGCCGGGCATGCGCAGAGCGCGCGGGGCGCGGTTGCCGTGGCAGCGCCGGCTCCAGGGAGGGCGGGCGCGGGGCCGGGATCGCGGGGCCTGAGGTGGCGACCGGAGAGCCCGCGGCCCGGCTGGAGGCAGCTCGGGACAGGCTTGAGCGGCGGGGCGCGCTGCCCGGCCGGCGGGGATGCGGGACCGGCTGCCAGACCTGACCGCGGTGAGCGGCAGCCGCGGATAGCGGTTCAGGCCCGGCCGGGGCGGGGTCTGGAGGGCGGGCGGGGGCTCGGGGCGTCTTGGGCGGGGCTCCGGGTGGGTCGCCAGGGCGAGGATCTCGGGCGTTCTGGGGCGGGGGCTGCGGGCAGGGTCTCAGGGAGTCCTGAGCCGGGGCTCCTGGTGGGGCCCCCAGGGCGGGGGTCCCGGTAGTCCTGGGGTGGGGGCTCCGGGCGGGGTCCCCAGGGCGGGGGTCTCGGGGAGTCTTAGGGTGGGGACTTCGGGCGGGGTCCCCAGGGCGGGGGTCTCGGGGAGTCCTAGGGTGAGGGCTCCGGGCGGGGTCCCCAGGGCGTGGCCTTGGGGCGGGCGGGCTGGGGGCTCGGAGGGGGAGGGGGCGGGGGCCCCGGGGAGTCCTGGGCAGGCGCCCCGGGTGGGGTCCCGAGGGCTGGGGTCTTGGGGAGTCCTAGGGTGGCAGCTCCGGGCAGGGTCCCCAGGGCGGGGTCTTCGGGCTTCCTGGGCGGAGTCCTCAGGGCGGGTTGGGGCAGGAGGAGGGAGCCGAGAAGGTCCCGGCCTCGACCCTCTCTCCGAGCGGGACTCCCTGTCCGTCACTCCGCCTGGCGGATTCTCTCTGGCGCTTACCCAGCCGGAGCCCACCGGCTTAACCGTGGTCGACCCCGCGGTGTCCCCGCAGCGGGCTTCAGGCCCGGGGAGCAGACGGGGTCCCTTTGGTTGCTGCTTTATTCCTGGGGCTTCACACAGGACCCTGCACCAAGCGGGAGGCAACAGATGGGTGTGAAATGTGGGTGCCTTAGAGTGCTGGGTGCTTGCGGTGGGGTGAGCAGGAACAACAGAACAACAGCTCGTGTCTGATCTCCCCAATAGTTTGCTTTGGGAACTGGGACTGTGTGTGTTGACTCTGAACACACCTAACGCGCCAACAGCCGAGCACACAGCAAATTATTTACTTTAGCAAGGGAAAAGCAGGTCACTAAAAATTTTGGAAGGATTTTGATGCATTCTACACATGTAAAGGTAAGAGAACTGTGCATGGTGCAGTGACAGCGAAATGATAGCGATGGTCGTGCACTTTCCAAGCTTATCTAACCCAGGACAGCTTAGGCCAACAGAAGTAATTATGACTTTTTCCCTTCACAGTACAGGTACTAACTCATGCTGCGTGTGTGCACAGATACAGTCCCTGATCTCTAAATTATTGGCGGCCTCAGAACAGGGTTGCTAAGGCCACAGCCCTACAGCACCCATTGCATGTAATGAATTATTCTCTCTCCTCTGCTAGAATGGAGCTGTTATGTACCCCCGAGTGGGAGAATAGAGAAAAGAGCCACTTAAATAATTATCTGTGTTCTGTGGTTCAGATGAGGAGCTCTGGTTGAGAAAGGCAATGATTTCATCCTTAGGATCATAGAAATTATGCTTTATATTCATTCCAAGGAAGTTTCTTCACAGTGATTTTTCCTTTTTTATTAATGGACAAATATTCCCTGTGGTCCGCAGATCAATACCATCTTAAACACAGCAAATTATAGTTGCATCGTCTTGCCCGGTAGATTATCTTTCAGTGCCGTGTAGTAGGAGCTCAGATATTTATTTAAAGAAGAAAAGCCGTGGCTCATGCCTGTAATCCCAGCAGTCTGGGAGATTAGGGTGGGAGGATCACTTGAGCCCAGGTATTGGAGATCAGCTTGGGCAACATAGGGAGACTGTTTCTCAAAAGAAATTAAAAAATTAGCAGGAGGCCAGTCGCAGTGTCTCATGCCTGTAATCCCAGCACTTTGGGAGGCTGAGTTGGGTGGATCACTTGAGGTCAGGAGTTTGAGACCAGCCTGGCCAACATGGCAAAATCCCGTTTTGTAAAAATACAAAAATTAGCCGGATGTTGTGGCGCACGCCTGTAGTCCCAGCTACTCTGGAGGCTGCGGCAGGAGAATCGCTTGAACCCAGGAGGTGGAGGTTGCAGAAAGCTGAGATCAGGCCACTGTACTCCAGTCTGGACGACAGAAAGAGACTCTTTCAAAAAAACCCAACAAAACAAAACACACACAAAAAAAGTATCCAGGTGTGGTGACTCGCACCTGTAGTCCCTGGTACTCAGGAGGCTAAGCTGGGATGATTCCTTGAGCCCGGGAGATAGAGGCTGCCGTGGGCCATGATTGTGCCATGCTACTGCACTCCAGCGTGGGAGACAGAGTGAGACACTGAAAAAAAAAAAAAAAAAAAAAAAGACAAAACAATGCTTAATGTCGCTGAATGTGAGAGCTGTGACTGTTTTACCAAAAGATAGCCAAATTTATATGTTGGGGAATCATGAGAAGATACATTTTCTTGGCTTGAATAGCAAAAAGGAAATAAGGCAATTATTTGTCACTGAGTTTCTATATATCTCAACCCTTCCTGAAACAGTAGAACATGTCAATCAGTTTTGTTCTAGAGTGGCAGAGCTAGAAGTCAGCTCGTCTACTTCAATACCATCCTGCTTTAGATACAGCCACTGAACAGTCAGAGAGTAAATCTGTGGAAGTTTCCACTTCTGGAGTTTCTTATCTTGGGCAAATAATTTTTAAACCTCTCAAAACTTTTTCTTGTATGTAAAATGGGGACAGTGGTATCGCTCTTGTCCACCTCATAGAGGGAGTTATGAAGCATAAAATTATCTAATGTGTGAGGCTCTGGGAGAAGGTGGGAGGGAGGAAGTGCTATGTAATTATAAGTGTGATTAATATTTACCAGATTTAGGCCAGGCACGGTGGCTCAAGCCTGTAATCCCAGCACTTTGGGAGGCCGAGACGGGCGGATCACGAGGTCAGGAGATCGAGACCATCCTGGCTAACACAGTGAAACCCCGTCTCTACTAAAAAATACAAAAATCTAGCTGGGCGAGGTGGCGGGCGCCTGTAGTCCCAGCTACTCAGGAGGCTGAGGCAGGAGAATGGCGTAAATCCGGGAGGCGGAGCTTGCAGTGAGCCGAGATCTGGCCACTGCACTCTAGCCTGGGCAACAGAGCGAGACTCTGCCTCAAAAAAAAAAAAAAAAAAATTTACCAGATTTTTTGTTTTTAGGAAGTTATAGAAAGCAGCCTTCTGGCTGGGCACAGTGGCTTTCACCTGTAGTCCGAGCACTTTGAGAGGATGAGGTGGGCGGATCATTTGAGCTCAGGAGTTCAAGACCAGCCTGGGCAACATGGCAAAACCCTGTCTTTACAAAAAACATACAAAAAATTAGCCAGGTGTAGTGGCGCATGCCTGTGGTTCCAGCTACTCAGGAGGCTGAGATGGGAAGATTGCTTGATTGCCAAGATTTTGCCACTGCCCTCCAGCCTGGGCAACAGACAGATTGAGACCCTGTCTCAAAAACAGAAAAAAGAGCAACCTTCTCCCTAGTATAAAATAGTAAGTTAAAACTGAATTTGAAGTTTAATAACTTTTAATATTTAAAAACCCATCTTAAAGTTACCAGATACAAGTTTAACTTCCCCCCTCCCCAGGAAATGCGTCCTTTCCAAGTAGTTCGTAGAGTAGTTGAATGTGTATTCACAACCATGCTTCTAAATGGCTGGTGTTTTTTTTTTCTAGGTAAAGTTTAATATTTTGTTGATTAAAATGCCTCATCTACAATGTCCACATTAACAAAATATTTGTGATGCTTCCAAAAAGTTTATTTTATTAGCTATTGAAGCTTGTTCCTGAGAAAAATGTACCTCTGATAATTACATGGAAAGGGCTTAAAAATTAATTTGCTCAATATAATTTGTGTTGAGAGATTTAGTTTCTAACCAGTGATTCTGTTTTTGAGCAACCAGTCATTTGGGCATAGAAAGTTTACGTGACTTGGTCCAGATCTCCTAGACTCTAAATCCAGGAAGATATTTCTGATTTACAGAAAGTAAAAGACTCGCCCGTCCAACAGGTACTTGAGTGTCAGGCCTCCAGCACATCATGTGCTGGGTGCAGAGAGACACAGCAGTGAACTGAGGGTGGGTGCGGTTGCATGCAGCCTGGGGAGGAAGAGTGACCGAGGTGTAATGAAATTCACTGTAGGACGTAAGCAAAACGGAATAGCTATTCTATAAGATAACCACCCCAAATGTATTTTGATTACTTTTTTTTTTTTTTTTTTTTTTTTTTTTTTTTTTTGAGGCGGAGTTTCGCTCTGTCGCCCAGGCTGGAGTGCAGTGGCCGGATCTCAGCTCACTGCAAGCTCCGCCTCCCGGGTTCACGCCATTCTCCTGCCTCAGCCTCCCGAGTAGCTGGGACTACAGGCGCCCGCCACCTCGCCCGGCTAGATTTTTTTTGTATTTTTTAGTAGAGACGGGGTTTCACCGGGTTAGCCAGGATGGTCTTGATCTCCTGACCTTGTGATCCGCCCGTCTCGGCCTCCCAAAGTGCTGGGATTACAGGCTTGAGCCACCGCGCCCGGCCTGATTACTTTTTAAAAAAAGTTTATGCACATTGATATCTTTATTATATTTTATATATATATGATATATGTATTTATTATAGTGAAGAATAGAGAAACCACACATTTCATCTGTGGGAATTGTTTGCATGATAATAAACAGTAAATACACAGTAGCTATGTGGTGTTCTTAGTAGACCTAAAAGAAATGAGAACATTATTTTTCATCCTGGTTTCAAGGTGGTAAATTGCAAATATAATCTTTTTTTTTTTTTTTCCTTTGAGACAGGATCCCGCTGTGTTGCTCAGGCTGGACTGCAGTGGCACGATCACGACTCACTGCACCCTTGATCTCCAAGGCTCAAGCCATCCTCCCACCTCAGCTTCCTCAGTAGCTACGACCACAGGCGTGTGCACCCAGCACATTTTCGTACTTTGGTGGAGGTGGGGTTTCGCTGTGCTGCCCAGGCTGCTCTTCAACTCTTGAGCTCAAGCAATCTGCCCACCTTGGGCTCCCAAAGTGCTGGGATTTCAGGCGTGAGCTACCATGCCCAGCCTACAAATATAATTTCTTAAAGGGCGGAAAACACTGCTCAGATATTTTTAAAAGTGATTTTTTGAAAGCTTGTGTTTGCCCATGTAGTGCGGAATGTTGCATAGTGAAGATTCAGGTTCCAGTTGATAAAATAAGATTAAGAGATTTCATTGGAACTTAAAATACTAAGAATTTCATATACGAACATAATTTTGTATATGCATATATTTATAGTTTAGAATTTCATAATTTATGCAGTCCTGCCAAATTTTTGTATTTTGTGTGTTCTCATACAAACAGTTCCTACAGTTGGAGTCTATAATTTCTCCATTCTTAACTGTAATAGGTTTACTCATTTATATATCTAAACATGTCCTTTGGTTTGAAGAGCAAAATCTGCCCATTTTCACAGATTAATCACTTCTTGTTTTTAACGTGAGGTCTATTCTGAATGTAAGGAGCAGCGACTCTAAGAAATAACTGATCCCTGGAAGAGCTCCCCGGGAGCCCAGACCTGTCGCCCTGTGGTGGCAGCATTCGCTCCTGCCTCTGGACTGATATGCCCCCTCCTCCCTGCCCTGGCAGGTGCTGCTCCCTTTTCCTCCCTGCCCTGGCAGGTGCTGCTCCGTTTGTCTGAACCACTGGACTTCTCCCTCTGCACCTTCTCTCTTGCCTTGTACCTTTTTTTTTTTTTTTTTTTGAGACAGAACCTTGCTTTCTTGCCCAGAATGGAGTGCAGTGACGTGATCTCAGTTCACTGCATTCTCCGCCTCTAGGGTTCAAGCAATTCTCCCGCCTCAGCCTCCCACGACACCCGGCTGATTTTTGTATTTTTAGTAGAAGCGGAGTTTCACCACATTGGCCAGGCTGGTCTCGAACTCCCAACCTCAGGTGGGTGATCCACCTGCCTCGGCCTCCCAAAGTGCTGGGATTACAGGCATGAGCCACCACACGCAGCCTCGCACCTTTTTTGGTCTCAGGTTAGGCATCACCAGGAAGCCTTCCTGCGTCCCCTTCCGCGTGTGTCCCCAGAGATGGCCCGTCTTGTCTTGGGGCATTCTGGACACAGACGCAGTCCTGTTTTTTCCTGCACTCTTCCGCGCGTGTCCCCAGAGATGGCCCGTCTTGTCTTGGGGCATTCTGGACACAGATGCAGTCCTGTTTTTTCCTGCACCCTTTCCCCGGCTCTTCAACCTTTTCAGGGCAGATGCATGTTGTCTTTTGTGCTCTGAAGCCTCAGTATTCTGCATGGTGCCTGATCCAGAGCACCTGCCAGGTATTTATTGAGTCAGCGTGTTTCCGTTTGAAAATGCCCATGGTAAGAAAAATGTAGATGCCACTGGAATCTGTTGTCTTCAAGGCCTTTTGGTTAAAAGGGACAGAAACCCATCACCTAAAGCAGAAAAGCGAGATTTATTAAAAAGCAGAGTGGAGGCCGGGCGCGGTGGCTCAAGCCTGTAATCCCAGCACTTTGGGAGGCCGAGACGGGCGGATCACAAGGTCAGGAGATCCAGACCATCCTGGCTAACATGGTGAAACCCCGTCTCTACTAAAAAAATACAAAAAACTAGCCGGGTGAGGTGGCGGGCGCCTGTAGTCCCAGCTACTCGGGAGGCTGAGGCAGGAGAATGGTGTAAACCCGGGAGGCGGAGCTTGCAGTGAGCTGAGATCCGGCCACTGCACTCCAGCCTGGGCGACAGAGCGAGACTCCGTCTCAAAAACAAAAAAAGCAGAGTGGGTCGGGTGGGGTGGCTTATGCCTGTATTCTCAGTACTTTGGGAGACTGAGGTGAAAGGATCGCTTGAGGTCAGGAGTTCTAGATCAGCCTGGCCAACATGGCGAAGCTCCGTCTCTACTAAAGATGCAAAAATTAATTGGGGGTGGTGGTAGGCACCTATAATCTCAGCTACTTGGGAAGCTGAGGTGAGAGAATAGCTGGAATCTGGGAAGTGGAGGTTGCAGTGAGCCAAGATCCTGTCACTGCACTCCAGCCTGGGTGACAGAGTGAGAATCCATCTCAAAAAAAAAAGAAAAGGTCGAGTGATTTCTCCCAGACTTGAGGGCACATAGTACCCTCAGCCCCATGAGGGATGGAGTTAGGACAGAGCGGGCCACCGAGGTCCTTCCTGTCCTTGTGTCATGGCCATTTTGTGCTTGCCAGGTCTCAGTCTGTGTGTGTCTCTGTTTCCATTTCTTGCCTTCTGTCATTTGTGTGTACTTCCCCACCCTCCTCCCCCTTGTCTGTGTCTGCCCTTTTCTTGCTCTTCATTCATTCATTGACTCGTTCGTTGCCCTGGTCATCGCTGACTGGCGGCTGTGTGCCAGGTACTGCTGTGGGCAGGATGCCTGCGTTGTGAAAAGACAGAAGTCCTTGCTCTCATGGAACCTGCAGCTGGGAGATAGACAGCAGCTAAGCAGATGAATCCATGTCTTTTGCAGTCCTTGCTGTGAAGGAATAAGCAGGGTGAGGGTGTGGGTGTGGCTGCCTTGGCCGGGCAGGTCAGGGGGCTACCCCTTGAGCTGAGCTGTGGATAAGAAAGTGGCTGTGGACAGGGCTGGGGGAGGGCGCCCTGGGCAGAAGACACAGCAAGTCCAGAGGCCCAGAGTTGAGAACGAGATCATGCAAGGGGCAGAAAGATGCTGTCGGTAGTGAGTGAATGGTCAGTGGTGGGCGGAGGTGAGACATGAATGAGCTGGAGAGGTTGGCTGGAGCCAGATCATGTGGGTTTCTCTTCATCTTCACGACCTGATGTAAAGGGGCTGCCCCAGCTCCCAAGTTTAAATCCTCTCTAGTTCAGGCTCTCCGGGCTTCATCATGTCAGTTTTGATCCTTATTCCTCGGACGAGATCATGGGATGGGCCCTTGGTAGCTCAAGATTAACCTGGCAGTGTCTTATGTCCATGTGCCGTGCTGCGGGCATCCAATTAATTGCAACTGCTTTGGAGAGCAATTTGGCATTGTTTAGTGATGCTGAAGATGCTTCAACCCCATGGCTCAGGGGTCCTGTCTCTGCATATGTGTGTGTTCCAGAAAACCAGCCCGACATGCACGTGCAGCCGTGTAACTGTGGTTTGTTATATTGTTGGTAATGGAAAAATGTTAGGGACAATAGGAGCCTGGATGAATAATACATCGTGGCTTTTTATGTAAAGGAGTGTACGCAGCAGGTAAGATGAATGTATAAGGTTGAACCATATGGTGTGGTTTCACCTAACACTAGAGTGATATATGCTGAGTGGAGAAATCTGAATGTATAGCTGACAGGAAAAAAAACAAAAAAAATGATTAAGTTGCAGAGGCAGGCCGGGTGCAGTCACTCACGCCTGTAATACCAGCACTCGGGGAGACCAAGGTAGGAGGATTGGTTGGGCCCAGGAGTTCAAGGCCAGCCTGGGCAACATGGCTAGACCTCATCTCTAAAAAAAATATGTGTACCTGTAGTCCCAGCTACTCAGGAGGCTGAGGCGAAGGGGTCGCCTGAGCGCAGGAGGTCGAAGCTGTTGTGAGCTCTGATCACACTACTGCACTCCAGCCTGGGTGAGAGCAAGACCCTGCCTCCAAAAACAAAAAAAAAAAAAAACAAAAAATTGCATAAGTATAACACTACTTACATAAAGTCTAAGTGCCTGTTAAAAAGTATTTATATAATAATAATGGGAACAAGTGTTAGTAAAAATACAAAAAAATTTAAAACAGTGCAACATTTTATCATAGGTATAAAAGTGTAATTCACCATACATAAATATGAGAGAGTAGGTTATGTTTAGCACCATAGTTACACACCGGCCCAGAGTCAGCATTTACTCACTTGTTTTTTGAGACAAAGTCTCTCTCTGTCACCAGGCTGGAGTGGCACCATCGCTGCTCAGAACAGCCTCAATCTCCTAGGCTTGGGGGATCCTCATAAGTGTGAGCCACCACGCCTGGCTGATTTATGTATTTTTTGTACCAAAAATAGGGTATCACCATGTTGCCGAGGCTGGTCTCAAACTCTGGAGCTCCAGTGATCCTCCCAGTTAAACCTCCCAAAGCGCTGGGATTATGGCATGAGCTGCTGCACCCGGCCAGCTTTTACCTACGTTTAGTTACAAGTCTTCTTTTCTTTTTTTACCCAAGTGATTTAATTGTGAAAAATAAGTCAAAGTATTCTAGCAACATAGTACTAAAACCACTGTGTCTATGTCAAGGTTTGTAATTTATTTGTCTACAGTTACTATTTGTGTGGAAGTTCCTTAGCGTGTGTGTGTGTGTGAACAACATGCAGAAGAAAGCCACGATTCTGTCCAGCTTTGGATTCTGCCATTTGTGATAGTTCAGCTTCTGTTGAATGATAAATGATGATTGTTCCAATGACTCTCTTTTCTGTTATGCGGTTTCTACACCAGGAAGCTACCTGCTACCTGTTCCTGACAATAGTATTCACACGGGGGAGCTGTGATTTTACTATAATGCTGCTTTTAAGGAGACTTCTGTTAACATGGAACAGAAATGGAATGCTGCTATTTAAATGTTTATCCTGTACTTTGACACTTGGGAAATCAAGTATGTCATATAGGAGCGTATTCCCTGGCTTTTAGTAAACGTTTACCACAAGCGGTTTGGTTATTTACAATGAATACCCTCTCATAATCATAGCTGTTGTACAGCTGTTGCACTGTCTCAGCTTGAAAGACTGAACATGGACATTCATTGAAGATGAGAATAATGTAGCTTAGGGATAAAGCCAAAAAGATTGCTTTGGTCATTTTTTTTTTTTTTTCTGAATGGAAAAGCAAAGACAGTATTATTGGGTCTGTTTCCTGTTATCTAATCAGTTTTAAGAGTTCCAGGTAGAAATAAGACATATAAGTCAAAGCTTAAGAATAAGAAATAAGACAGTAGAGGAAACATATTCCAGTCATGTGGATCTTTCCTGGTCTACAGGTAGAGAACCACATTGTTTACCAGCAAGCGAATGACTTGGAACAAAAATCTGCCCGTGCCATGGGTTCAGAGTGGAGGAGGATTGGCGCCACACCACTGTGGGGGTGCATCGCACAGCATGGGACAGTCACCATGGGAGAGGAGGACTGAGTATCTGGTTGTTTACGCCACGCCACTGTGGGAGTGCATCGCACAGCATGGGAAGGTCACCATGGAAAGCGACTTGCTTTCACAGGGAAGTGTGGTGCTGGGGAGCAGTGAGATGGTTGCAGCCTCTTTGCTGGAGCCGCAGGTGCAGTCTCCACAGTAGCATCTGCCTCGTGGGATTTGCCTCAAGATGGTCTTATGGTGTGGGGTAGGAAGTGGTGGGAAGCGGTGGGTGTCAACCTAAACAAGACAGGCTGTCGCTTGTCCATTGTTAAGCCTGGGTGATGAGGACAGTGAGGGCTCACCCATAGTATTCCTTCTACTTTTGTATATGTTTACAGTTTTCCAAATAAACAAAAATAAGGTGACTTTGAATCTAGAACCTAAAGTTACTGACAGAGCAGGGAGGTGTGAGATGCCCTGAGAGCCACGTGGCACCTCCAGGGTGGGGTGAAGCACTTTTATGGCCCCGGGCTCAGGGCCACCAGCCATCTGCAGCTCAGTTTCAGCTCTCCGCCCCTCCTCCCCACCCCCTCCATGGGTATTTGGGTGAATGCACAGTCAACGACTTAACGTGGTCATGCTTCACTCCGTCATTCCTGGCCCTGTGCCTCTGAGACCGCACAGCTGAGACGACAAGGCAGATAGCCACAGGGAAGCAGTGAGACCCCGGGCCCAGCTAGTGGGATTTAGTTTGCCCAAGTGAGCGCTTGGAGACAGGGAGGGAGCAGACTGTGGGCCCGAGAGGCGGGGCTGGCACCCACGGGAGTAGATCCTCTTTCTAAGAGAGGGAGTCCCCGCAAGGGGAGTCTGTGGGGCCTGCATGGCTGGTGGGGCACCGCAGCACAGCTCCTCCGCCATCCCATCTTCCCCCAGGGCAGAGTGTGCTTGTCAGAGCAGGGTGTGTGGAATCACAGCCACAGGCCGCTTCTGCTCTGCTGTCCCTGCTGAGTGATCCCTGCACTGTTTCCGCCTCCTCACTGGCAACGTGGGGCCCATAAAACTAATGAGAACATGTGTGGAGCGTGTTTCAAATTGCCTACCACTTGTGCGCTGGAACCAAAGGACAGCTCTTAACTCTTTTTAAGAGGGTCAACATGGTACAGCTGTTAAGATGGGGAGTTCTGGAAAGTCAGACGGACTGGCTTCACCTACTGGTTCGGCACCGCTTAGCTCCGAGACCATAACCGTTGAGCATGTGTTCTACTCTGAAGTAGCCATGCCCGTACCTGCCTCATGGCGGGGATGGGGGTGTGGTCCCAGGAGGATTGACAGATAACACACCTGGCCTGCCTCCTGCAGACCCTGGGCACTGGCACTCAGTATCTTCAGCCGTTCTTTTTTGGTTTTTAGAGTGGTGTGGGATCCTGGAGAAGTGTGTTAAACTATGTGGGGTCTGTCTTAATGTTAGTTTCTGCTGCTTGTCAGTTGATTGCCATTTTGTCTTGAAGTGCTGCTTTGCTTAGAATGACAAGTGTACGGGCTGGATGCAGTGGCTCATGCCTGTAATCCCAACAATTTGGGAGGGTGAGGTGGGAGGATTGCCTGAGCTCAGGAGTTTGAAACCAGCCTGGCCAACGTGGTGAAATCCTGTGTCTACTAAAAATACAAAAAAATTAACTGGGTGTGGTGGCAGGTGCATGTAATCCTAGCTACTCAGGAGGCTGAGGCGCAAGCATTACTTGAACCCGGTAGGCGGAGGCTGCAGTGAGCCAAGATCCTGCCACTGCACACTCCACACTCCAGCCTGGGTGACAGAGCGAGACTTTGTTTCCAAAAAAAAAAAAAGAGTAAGGACTAGAAGTAATTTCAAAAGCCTTTATTGGTTTATATATTAATATGACCTATGAAAGTAGTGTTACCTTATAAAATGCTGATAAATATCTTATCCTTAGGGTCTTCTGATGGAGATGGGAGAATACTATCTCTATTTCATGGACAAGAGGCAGAGACTGAGACAAGCTAATGGGCTGCTGGGGAGGAGGCTGGAGCCCAGGTCTTCAGCTCCTGATCAATGATCGTTCTTCTGGATGATGCTGGGGTTTTGTTTTGTTTTGTTTTTGTTTGTTTTTAGATACAGGGTCACTGCAGCCTCAACCTTCTGGGCTCAGGTAGTCCGCCCACCTCAGCCTTCCAAGTAGCTGGGACCACAGGCATGTGCCACCATGCCTGGCTAATTTTTTGTGGAGACAGGGTTTCATCTTGTTGCCCAGGCCGGTCTTGAAGTCCTGGACTTAAGCAAGCCGCCCTCCTCAGCCTCCTAAAGTGCTGGGATTACAGGCATGAGCCACTGTGACCAGCCAGTGTTTTTACTGTTTATGGAAAATATGCAACACAAGCAGTTTCGCTTCTTGAAGGTGAAACTGGCCTGTGTGATGTTGACTTACATAGTGAAAGCTAAATGATTCTAAGCAGCTTAGTTCTGAGAAAGCCACCCCTTGCTTCTCTCCAGGTCTTGCACCCCCCGGCTGCTTCAGCCAGGATCTGTTCTGTTGAAAATGTTGTGGAGTTCAGTTGGGGTAGATAGTGGTGGCTGCTAGTTTGTTACAATTTGGTGCTCTAGTGAGTTGAGATCTTGTGGGTATTGAACTGTTTTTGTATTTCAGTTCTCTATTTGTGCCTACATAAAAATTTTAAAAATCTGAATTTTCCATTTTTCATTGTAGTGTAGGAAGAATGATGATGGAGACACAGTTGTTGTGGTTGAGAAAGACCATTTCATGGAGGATTTCTTCCATCAGGTAAGAGCGTTTAATGGAACACAATCGTAGCCTGCCTGCCTGCCCTCCCTCCCTCCCCCTCTCCCTTTCTCCTTCCCCCCCTTCCTTTCCTTCCTTCCTTCCTCCCTTCTTTCTTTTTCTTTTTTTTTTCTTTTTCTTGTTTTTGGAGACAGAGGCTCACTCTGTTGCCCAGGCTGGAGAGCAGTGACACAGTCTCGGCTTACTGCAACCTCTGCCTCCCAGATTCAAGTGATTCTCTTGCTTTAGCCTCCCAAGTAGCTGGGACCACAGGTGCGTGCCACCACGCCTGGCTAATTCTTTTTTGTTTTCATTTTTAGTAGAGATGGGGTTTCACCACGTTGCCTAGGCTTGTTTCAAACTCCTGAGCTCAGGCAATCCGCCTGCCTCGGCCTCCCAACGTGCTGGGATTACAGGCGTGAGCCCCCGCGCATGGTGGCTTTCTTCTTTAAAGATGTGTATCAATATGATTGTGCATTTATAATATTTGAATTAATATTCAGCTAATATTTTAAAAAGTTGTTTGAATTACATAAGTTCTCTGGAATTTTTAGTATGATCACAATGTTAATATGAGAAAAATGCAAATCATCGTTCTGGTGCAGTCCAGGAGGGAATGGGGTGCGGATGGTGGAGCTGTGCACGCGGCCTCCGCGTGTGCGGGGGCCAGGCCTGCAGCGCCCTCTGCTGGTCGGTGCCCGCTTCTCCCACCCGGCGCTGGCTGCTGCAGGAGCGCCTCCTCCTTGCAGGCTGCCTTTGGGAGGTCCTGCGGCGCCCCTTAAGAGAGTTTTACAAAGGCCTCCCTGCAAGACCGGCAGTGTCTCAGAACGAGGACTCCTTGGTTCTTCAGGAAGTGGTGGTTCCGGCAGCAGAGGTGGCACCTGGCTGAGGCGCAGGGGTCAGGTGTGCGTGGCTCCCACCAGCACTGCTGCCCCTCCACTGGTGGGAGTGAGTCCTGGGGGCAGGTGCATAGAGCAGAGGGCTCAGGGTCTGAAATCGGTGACTGATCAGCGGTATATGAGCTCAGGTAGGAGACTCAGAGGAAAGTCACTGGTGACCCAGTGGCTGATATTTTAAGACGTGGCGGCCTGCCAGTGCTGGGATCCTGTCTGAGGTGTGAGGCCTCCCCCTCCTGCTTATCTCCCCAGCACAGCTCTTGGGCTTAGGCCCTGCTGAAATTCTCAAACCTAAGAACTATCTGATCTAATGTGGCATAATTTCAAATTTTTGAAATTTAGTCACAGAACAAATACATTGACCTTGTAAAACATGAAGGAACGAAAACACACGTCCAGTGGGTTTTTAATGACGGAACCTTCGTTGCAGGACTTGCCTTGATTATGCTGAGTCTCATGGGATAGTTTCACTCGACAGCCTCAGCTGGCCTAGCAGTGCCTGGATTTGAACATTTTAATAGATTTATAAAAGTATATGGAAAGTTATTAGTTTTTCAGACTCAATCCGAATTTCTTGAATATCTCATGTAAGCCTAGTCACTGGTTTTCTAGTATTTATTAGTTGCTACTGTTATCTAAAGGAAAAAACTATGAGATTAAATTGTAAGCTACAAGGAAGTTCCTTTAAGGTATAAAGGAGTTAAGATGCTTGGATTTCCTGATTTCACTTCTTGGAAATGAGACTTTTAAAATTGTCTTTAGCCTTCCTGCCCCCTTTGTCAAATTATTATTTTTCCGATTTTATTCCTTTTACTTGGTTGCTTAACTCCATACAAGTTCTTTGTAAAAATGTATTTATTTTAAAGAATCTCCTGCCATTAGGTGTTGCATTTAATAGAAAAGTTACATAGTGCAGGCCAGGCGCAGTGGCTCATGCATGCCTGTAATCCCAGCACTTTGGGAGTCCGAGGCAGGTGGATCACCTGAGGTCAGGAGTTCCAGACCAGCCTGGTCAACATGGCAAAACCTGTCTCTACTAAAAATACAAAAATTAGCCAGGCGTGATGGCGGGCGCCTGTAGTCCCAGCTGCTCGGGAGGCTGTGGCAGGAGAATCGCTGGAACCCGGGAGGCGGAGGTTGCAGTGAGCTGAGAACACGCCACTGTACTCCAGCCTGGGCGACAGAGTGAGACTCTGTCTCAAAAAAAAAAAAAAAAAAAGAAGAACAGAAAAGTTACATTGTGCAATTCACTGACTGCCATTAAGCTGTGGTCTTTGTCTGTCTGGTGCCAGTCTGTCTTTGCTGCTGTTGTCTCGGGGCATGTGGGAAACAGGTTACTCGTGCGTTAGGAAGGCTTGCCCAGTGCTTGTCCTCACTGGGTTCTAACTTAAGCTCAAGCGTTCATTTGTTAAATAGTCAATTTAGTTTGCACTTAATTTCTGTGAAATGACTTCCTAGACAAATACAGAAACAAGTAATGTTTGTTAATATAAACTCATTCTGATCTTCAATATCACATAGAAGTTTGCAAGAGAAATGGATTTCACACGGCGAGTGTTTGGTTAACACAAACAGCTCTCTGAAGGGTGGCCAGGGAGCCTCGTTTCTGCGAAGATGATTTCTAACGGAGCCAAAGGACCCCCGTGCTGTGTTATTCCCGGACATAAAATGCTAGCTGGCACCATTCTCTCTTGGTGCCTCTCTGGGTGTGGGTGTGTAACCCTGCAGTTTCCTGTTCCTCTGGAGCCACATGGGGGCTTGGAGTTAGCAGCGGTATATATTGCAGAACTCTCCAAGAGTTAAAATAATGGTTTTTTTGCTTTTACTTTCTAACATATGTGTATTACTTTAGAAATGGTAATTTTGCTTTCTTTTCTTGAGAAAGAGCCTCGCTCTGTCACCCAGGGTAGAGTGCAATGGTGTGATCTCGGCTCACTGCAGCCTCCTCCTCCTGGGTTCAAGCAATTCTCTTGTCTCAGCCTCCTGAGTAGCTGGTACTACAGGCACGCCACCACGCCTGGCTAATTTTGTATTTTTAGTAGAGATGGCATTTTGCCATGCTGGCCAGGCTGGTCTTGAACTTTTGATCTCAAGTGATACGCCTACCTTGGCCTCCCACAATGCTGGGATTACAGGCGTGAGCCACTGGCCTGTGTGATTCTTTAATACTTAGACTTTTCAAATCTGGTCTGGGGCTTGGCCTAGGAGTCCTTGGGGTCCCTAAGATCCTTTCAAGAGGATTCTGTGGTCAAAGCTCTTTTCAAAGTAATACTAAGATGATCATTGCCATTTTCACACTCTCATGACTGCACAGTGACGGAGTTTCTCAGAGCCAACACACCAAACCCAAGAGTATCTGTGATGATCAGGGTGCTTTCTATTAAGCTAGACATTAGATTTACAAAAAGTGCAAATCACTGCCCCTGTTTCCACTGATTTTTTGGAGATCTGTTTTTTTCACAGAAATGATAACACATGATAACATAAATAACATTATGTTGACATGTGTGTCAGTTTCCTGCTGCGGCTGTAACAAATCACTGTGGTTCAACAACACGTTTATCACCTCCTCCTAGTTCCAGGGCCTGGAGAAGCTCAGGTGCTGGCAGGGCAGAGCTGCGAGCCTCCTGGAGCTGCCTCCCTCTCCAGCTTCCGCAGGCGGCCTGTGTTCTTGGTTTTCCTCCACCTTCAAAGCCATCACTCCAGCCGCTGTTTTCATGATCAAGTGTCCTTTTTCCAACATTGGTCCTCTTGTCTTGTCTTATAAGGACTCCTGTGGTTCCATTGGGCCCACCCAGATAATCCAGGGCAGTCTCAAGACTCAACTGGATCACATCTGCAAAGTTCCCTTTGCCGTGCCAGGTGACATATTCACAGACTCCGGGATTAGGACGTGGATTGTGCCATGACATGTAACGGTTCATAATTCAAGGTGACATATTCACAGACTCCGGGATTAGGACGTGGATTGTGCCACGACATGTAACGGTTCATAATTCAAGGTGACATATTCACAGACTCTGGGATTAGGACGTGGATTGTGCCATGACATGTAACGGTTCATAATTCAAGGTGACATATTCACAGACTCCGGGATTAGCATGTGGATTGTGCCACGACATGTAACGGTTAATAATTCTTTTTTTTTTTTTTTTTTTTTTAAGAGCAGGATCTTGCTCTGTTGCCCAGGCTGGAGTGTAGTAGTACAATCACAGCTCACTACAGCCTCAACTTCCTGGGCCCAAGTGGTCTTCCTGCCTCAGCCTCCTGAGTGGCTGGGACTGCAGGCATGCACTATTGTGCCTAGCTAATTTTCTTTCTTTTTAGTTTTTGTAGAGATGGGGTCTCTCTGTGTTGCCCAGGCTGGTCTTAAACTCTTGGCCAAAAGTGATCCTTCTGCCTTGGCTCCCAAAGTGTTGGGATTACAGGCATGAGCCACTGTGCCTGGCCTATAATTACTATTTTAAAATGAGGAAGGAGGTAGGAGCTGGCAGCAGAGCATCTTGCCTCAGGGCTCACCTTGCTACTTCTGTAGCTGAATGTCCCTCTACTGCTGTCTTCTAAGAACACTTGCGACTTTAACCCATTTATGCCTAGTGTTCCATTATTGGAACGCTAAGCTTGTGTGAGTTATTTATATCCTACTGCTCAGGGTCATCGCCAAGGTCTGATTTTTCACACACACAAATTGTAGCCTCTAGCATAAATGGGTTAATGAGGACCGACCTGGAGAATTCAGCATAATTCCCATCTCAAGATCCTTAGTTTAGTCACATCTGCAAAATATCTTTTGTCCTATAAGGTAAGTCACAGGCCCAGGGATTAGGACCTGAACATCGTTAGGGTCACTTTTCAGCATGACATAGAGGTTTTTGAAGATAATGTTATGACTCCATCTAGATAAATCTTGCTAATGATACATTACATTTTGAAACACATATTGAATTTAAACATTTAGAGGTCAAAGATAACAATTATGAAGGTTTGGCTGTATGAGCTGTAGATACCTCCTCCCATAAGAGTATTATTATTATTATTTTCTTTCTTTTTTTTTTTCAGACAGAGTTTTGCTCTGTTGCTCAGGCTGGAGTGCAGTGGTGCGATTTCTGTTCACTGCAACCTCCGCCTCCTGATTCAAGCGATTTTTGAGCCTCAGCTTCCTGAGTAGCTGGGAGCACAGGTGTGTGCCACCTCAGTCGGCTAATTGTTGTATTTTTAGTAGAGAAGAGGTTTCTCTATGTTGGCCAGGCTGGTCCCAAACTCCTGGCCTGAAGTGATCCGCCCACCTTGGCCTCCCACAGTGCGGGGATTACAGGCGTGAGCCACTGTGCCGCATGTTTTATGCGCTTACTTCCTGGTTGTGCTGAAAATGGGTATTAGTAGTGTACGCTTCTAATTGGCCCTGTCTGTGTCATGCTTGCGACTTGACTAGGAATTCTTACAGCCTGATAGGTTTCCCTGGTGAATGTTGATTGGCACTGCTTTAGGTATGAAGGCACAAATATTCATAGGGTATATCTTTATTTTTTTAATTTAATGAGACTGCCGGGTGCGGTGGCTCATGTCTGTAATCCCAGCGCTTTGGGAGGCCGAGGTGGGCAGATCACGAGGTCAGGAGATCGAGACCATCCTGGCTAACACGGTGAAACCCCGTCTCTACTAAAAATACAAAAAAAATTACCTGGGCGTGGTGGTGGGTGCCTGTAGTCCCAACTACTGGGGAGGCTGAGGCAGGAGAATGGCAGGAACCCAGGAGGTGGAGCTTGCAGTGAGCCAAGATCACACCACTGCACTCCAGCCTGGGTGACAGAGTGAGACTCTGTCTCAAAAAAAAAAAAAAAAAAAAAATTATACCAGTGTGAGAATGAGAGAGGCTTTTATTTCTTATGTGGTAATTATTTATTTCCCTCCTTTATTCTTCCCCTTTTAGGGCATGAAAGTGGTCACAGATTTGAGTTTGCCATGCTATAATGACTCTCTCTCTCTCCTAGGTTGAGGAGATTAGAAACAGTATTGATAAAATAACTCAATATGTTGAAGAAGTAAAGAAAAACCACAGCATCATTCTTTCTGCACCAAACCCAGAAGGAAGTAAGTTGTTGGTTTTCACAACAAAAAGTTTGTCTGTCTGTGTGTCTCTCTTGCTGTCTGCAGCACAGGCCTCGACTCTGGCTTCACGTTAGATTCAGGGGCGTTTGTACGAAATACTGATAAGCTAGTCTGAGGCGTTCCGCCGGGGTGAGCCAGGGCGTCTGTGTGGTGTGTTTTAAAGCTGCCCGTATGATTCTCATGGCCAGCCCGAGTGAGGACCGCGGGTGGATCAGATCCTAAAGAATACACGAAAGTGGCTTCGCAGAACTTAGGAGCCAAGATTAGACCACAGGTCAGCAAGACAGCAGTTTATGTTCAGAGGGCAGTGAATCCGGGATTGATTTGGAAAACAGTACTTGTAAGAGCAGAGTGAAATAGGAAGACACACTGAGGTGACTCTGAAAGTCTTAAGGAGGAGCTTTTGTATGGACTGTGCTGCGTTCAGTGCCTGTGGAGGATGGCACAGAAGAAATGCTTTTTTTTCTTTATCTGCTTCACATTTGCTTCCTTTTGAATCTGAGGCACACAGAAGAGTGAAAGGAGCTCAGTGGAAGCAGCTGGAGAACCTGGATTTTTGTCCCAATTTGCTTCCCCACGGTATTTGCATCTCCTCATTGGGAGAAAAGACATGATTTTATTTTATTTACTTATTTATTTATTTTTTTGAGACGGAGTCTTGCTCTGTCGCCCAGGCTGGAGTGCAATGGCGCAATCTCGGCTCACTGCAACCTCTGCCTCCTGGGTTCACGTAATTCTCCTGCCTCAGCCTCCCGAGTAGCTGGGACTACAGGTGCCCACCACCATGCCCGGCTAATTTTTGTATTTTTAGTACAGACAGGATTTCATCATATTGGCTAGGCTGGTCTCGAACTCTTGACCTTGTTTTCCACCCGCCTCAGCCTCCCAAAGTGCCGGGATTATAGGCATGAGCCACCGCGCCCAGCCATATCTACTTTAAATGTCATTTTCTCTGTTTGTTGTTGGCATATAGAAATACAATGATTTTTGCATATTGGCCTTGTACCCCTTGCCTAATCAGTTATTAATTCTAATATCCTCTGTAGCTAATGTTGGATTGTCTCTGTACCCAATCATGTCATTGTGAATAATAGTGACAGTTTTTTCCTTGCAGCTCTTATGCTTGTTAGTTTTAACTGACTTATTTAGCTGACCTCCAGTACAGCTAAGTGGTGATGGGGGCACACGTATTTTTGGTCTTGGAGGAAAGTTGCCAGCAAATACATTTTTTGTTGGACTATTACTTAGTGTAGCCGTACGTTGAAAAAATAAAGTAGTATTAAATTGAAAAAGAACGCATTTTAAAATTGTGTGTGTCTTGTAAAATAAGGTTCTGAGCCTCTGTTTGTGCCTTCTCAGTAACTCAGAAGCGTGTTTCCCAACATGTTTCTGGAGCCGCCGTCTCATGAGCTAGTCCGTGCAGCCAGGGTGCTGCGGCCAGATCCTTCCCCAGACCTCTTCGTGCCGTCGTCCAGCCCCTTTTGGGAAGTTGCAGTACCCTTAGAATGAATAATCAAGGCTCTGAGAAGTCTTCCTAGAAGGAAGCCTGTTTAGCTTTGTTTAGTGTTTCACACATTTATTTGCCCGTAGGACCTTTTATGTCCCATCTGTTAACATCATGCTTAATGCTTAGGAAAATTCTATTTGAATAAGTATCAGCATGTTTTTTTGGAATAATTTACCTCCAAAACATTTTTGCTGCCAAGTCATAGCAGATATAACTATTTTTTGAGTAAATTTAGAACTGTTACTGTTTGATGATAGTCCCTTTCGGGCTCTAAAGAAAACCATTGCTTTTTTGTCTTTTGTTTTGTGACAGAGTGTGAACCAAAATGTAGGCAGCAGCCTCCAGCTGCTTCCTTGGTTGGTCTTTAAAAAGCAAAATGCAGTGATTCCCCTCTCCCAATGACGGGCCTGGGATAATGCAGAGGAACAGGCTCTTGGCCTTCCCGCCCTGTTCCTAAAGAGAGGGGAGGGTGGGAGGGAGGAATGGGGACTGCGGTGCTCCGCCTCCCCCGTGCCTCCCCATCCTCGGGCAGGCGCCCTGCTTAGGTCCTGGTGAGCAGGCGATTCCCAGGCTGCTGCCCTCCCCGAGATCCCCCGTCAACCTCCGGACCTGGGGCAGGGCTGGGCACGGTGGCCGCCAGGTGGCGCCAGAGGCAGCCGGTCCCGGGCGGGTCCCCGGTCCTAGCACCGTGCGCGTCGCGCCACCTGCAGCCACGGATCCCAGGGCAGAGAGGTGGACGAAGGACCTTTTACCTGCATTTTTCTTTTTTCACTTCCTACTTTTGTATTATTCCTTTTTTCTTTTGTATTAAAAGAGCGTCTTGGCCGGGCGCGGAGGCTCAAGCCTCTAATCCCAGCACTTTGGGAGGCCGAGACGGGTAGATCACGAGGTCAGGAAATCGAGACCATCCTGGCAAACCCGGTGAAACCCCGTGTCTACTAAAAAAATACAAAAAAAAAAAAAAAAAAAAAAAAAAAAAGTCTTTGCAAAACGTAGATGTTTCAGGCCCTCCAAGACACGGATCCAGCCCTGCAGGAGCATGAAGCGTGTGTGATTCTGGTTTGGGTTTTAGTGACGGCGAGGCTGGGATTCCCCTGCAGGGCGGCGGCGATTTGATTTGCTCCTGCAGTCAGCCGTCAGCCTGGCTTGCGCCCTGTGTTCAGGGGCCGTCGTCCTGCGGCTGCGCGCGCTCCCGTTTTCTCCGCTTCCTGTTCCCTCAGCAGGTCCCTGGGGCTCCCCTCCGACTGTGCTGGGACCGCTTCTGCGCCGTCTCCGTCTCCAGCGCCGCCTGCTCCCGTGCGTTCTGTGCTTTTCTGCGGGAAATCAGACTCATGGAGACCTGGGTCCTTGTGCGGAAGCCCCTGAGGGCCCTGGAGGAAGCCGCACCTCTGTGGCTCTGGCTTCAGATCCTGTTCCACTGGTTATCCCTGTGTGGCCTTGGACGCATCACTTAACATCTCCGGGGCTGTTCCCACACGTGTGAAATGGGCTAGTGGTGGCATCTGCCTTTCAGTGCTGTTGTGATTCTTCCCCCCGCAGCCCCAGCGGAGTCTCCCTCTGTCGACCAGACGGGAGTGCAGCTGCGTGATCTCAGCCCACTGCAGGCTCAGCCTCCTGGGCTCAGACAGCCCTCCCACTTCAGCCTCCTGAGTAGCTGGGATTACAGGTTTATACATATCATATGTATATAACATATATACACACACATATAAATAATATGTATATATATACACACACACACTCTTTTTTTTTTTTTTGTGGAAACAACGTCTCACTATGCTGCCTCTCTCCTGTCTCCTCCCCTGCAGGGCATGGGGGCTGCTCATGGGACTTTCTGCCTTCAGAAACGAAGCCGTGAACCCCCGTAAGGAGCTGCGTGGCCAGGCTCCGGCAACCCCCTCCCACTGCAGGGCCTTACTAGGGAGCCTCGGCTCCAGGACCCCTGCCCTGCTTCAGCCCAGCTGCCCCCACCACAGGCTGGGACTACCCCACCCGAGGCCTTCCTGCCCTTGCGGTTCCTCTGTGCTTCCTTCTTACCTCCTTCAGTGAAGATTCGCTATGATCTGAAGTTATCCTCAGTTTAGTATTATTCTCGAAGGATATTTTCACTGAGTAGAAGGTTCTAGTTTAGAAGTTACTTTCTTTCACCACTCTGAAGATTTAAAACATATTTTTCCAGTGTCTTTGGCTTTACTTTTTTTTTTTGTCAGCTAATTAGAGATTTTAAGGTATTTGGTTTTTGGTCTTTGGTTTTAGCAGTTTTACTTTGATGTTTTGAAATGTGGTTTTCGTTTTCTTTTTCCCTCTTATAAGGCTTCTTGAATCTTTGGATTGCATTTTCTGGCTGTGTTTTGAAAAACTTTGGCCATTACTTCTTCAAATAGCATCCTTGCTCCTTTTTCTGTCATCTCTCTTTGCGACTGGAATTGTCTTTTAGAGCTTTTGACTGTATCCTTTCTGTCTGTCCTCTGTTGTTCTCTATTGTTCATCATTTTCTCTATATATTTCATTTTGAAAATGTTTTCCCGACTTATCTTTCGATTTCTCTTCAGCGATTGTCTTGCAGGTCAGGGAATCTTTCTTCATCTATGGAATTATTTTTGGATTGGTTTTAACTCCTGGATTTGGTTCCTTTTAATACTGTCCTATTCTCTGAGAAAATTTATGATATTACATTTTATCTCTTTGAATATAATTTTTTTAACGTTTGTGTCTTGTAACTTCATTAACTGGTGCCTCTGTGGATGGGTTAATATTGTCCGTTTTTGTTGGTTTTTTTGGTGTGTGTTTTTTTGGTTATTTTTGATTTGAGTTTTGAGCTTTGTATTGGAATGATGTGTAGTAATAATTCGAGTCCTGAATGATATTTTCTTTATAAAGAGGTGATGTATTTTTATTTCTGGCAGATGGTTAGAAGCGCCAGCAGTTCTGGACCTGATTTTAGGGACTGAGATGATTTAGACTGAGGCTTCAGCCCCTTCGAGGGACAGCTTCCCACCTGACTGTCCTCCGAGGGCATCGCCTCTCCGAGTCAGCAGTTTTCTCAGCTTCTCTGCAGCCCAATTGCCTTTTATGGAGTTGGCACCTGCCCCCTGGTAAAAGTGGCTGCAAAAGTGGGGCCCACCTCTTTGGGTTTTCTTTTTCTGAGTCTTCTTTCCTGCCTTGTTAGGTTTCTTTCTTTTTTTTATTGTTTTGTTTTGTTTTATTTTGTTTTGTTTTGTTTATTTTTGCACCTTGTTAGGTTTCTAATGGCTTTCCACAGATTTGAAAAGAGTAATGTCTACCCTTTCTAATTGTTCTCAGCAGGATTGAGCTGAATCACCTAGGCCGCTGGAAGAGGAGGTTCCCGATATCAGTGGTTGGAAATGCCATGTTTGTCACATGTGACCTTATGGCCGGTGTCTCGCAGGATGAGACAGGCAGTGCCTCTTTCATTTTGCTGATGAGCTGCCTAAGCCCCTGTGTGCCTGTGGTGGCAGCAAGGTCACTCTTTCCTTCCTGAGTGCCTCCCAGCCCTGCTGTGTAAGAGCTCAGGGCTTTCTTTCCCCAGGGAAGTGAGTCCTGCTGTGGCCCACCAGCTCAAGAGGGAGACTCTCATCCACCAGCAGGCCCGGCTCTCAGATCTCATGGTTTCTGTGGCTGCACAGTGGCTCACGACTGTCTCCCGAGTCTGATTGTCCTCAGCTGTGCTCAGGCGCTGGCTGGGCCGGACCGCTGCACAAATACCCTTGCTGTGTGTACATTTTAACTTCGACGCCTACACTCAGCCCTCATTCCCCAGGCACAGTGGCCAGGCGTTGGGGGTGTTTGCATCCGCCTCATGCACCACGGGAGCCAGCACTCCCGCCACAAACTGTGGACCTACCCCCCTCTTTATTCATAGCAAGTCTCTGTAATTCCTGTTAAATGCCCCATTTTATAAGGCATTTTGTGTTCCCTTTACTGTCCTAAAATGAAGTTCATAGATGATATAGCCTACCTACTTCCATAATTTTTTAAAAACGTGTAATATCCAAACTAATATGAAGAAGACATAAAATGGAAGTAACTTACATACTGAAGTACAAATTGTATTGTGCAGGCTCAGGCACAACACCAGAAAACGAAATTCAGGCACTTGCCCCCTACAAACAAGTCCTGTGACTGACAGCCAAGACTGCAAGCTGATGAGGCGTGATTCAGATGCTGTCAGCAGGCTTCCCTGTGCTTTTCCTAAGGCAGTTGTGTTGCTGAAATAGAATGAAGTACAGCTTTCTCGCCGTGCAGAGCGGTGTCACGGCAGTTGCATTCCTGAAAATCCACTGGATATTGAAACGATGCAGATGAAAATAGGACTTATTTGTAAGCTGGAGTTAGGTTCTGGGCTCAGGAAAACAGGTCTTTTCTCCTGCCCGAGTGAGCAGTGTCCATTTGGAAGTTATGCAGGTCAGCGGGTGATGTGCTGACATAACGAGGTTTGAGGGTGGTACATCTCACACGTGCATGGACACCCCGTCGTCATGCTCAGGAACGTTGTGTGGTGCTGGCTGGTGCCATTCCTGGCTCCTATCTTCTGGCTGCCAGTGGCTCTGCCTTTTTTATGATGACTAGAAATACCCCACAGATTTCAGAATACCTCTTGGGGTGGTAGAAAGATTCCCCTGAGAATCTCCCTTTAGAAACATGTTCACAGAGGAGAACCACGAAATGGCCCCTTTGTGTCTAGTTTCTCTTTTTTTCTAGTTTCATCCATTATCAGAATAATTTTTCTCCTTTTTTTTCTTTTTTCTTTCCTTTTTTAAATAGAGATGGCATCTTGCTAGTTGCCCAGGTTGGCCTTAAACTCTTAGGCTTAAGTGATCCTCCCGCTTCAGCCTCTGAAGTAGCTGGGACTACAGGTGCACACCATTGTGCCCTGCTTAAAAATTATCTTTCTAGGCTGGATGCAGTGGCTCACGCCTGTAATCCCAGCACTTTGGGAGGCCGAGGCGGGCGGATCACGAAGTCAGGAGTTTGAGACCAGCCTGGTCAATATGGTGAAACCCCAACTCTACTAAAAATACAAAAATTAGCCGGGTGTGGTGGTGGGGGCCTGTAATCCCAGCTACTTGGGAGGCTGAGGCAGGAGAATTGCTTGAACCCAGGAGGTAGAAGTTGCAATGAGCCGAGATTATGCCACTGCACTCCAGCCTGGGTGACAAGAGCAAGACTCCGTCTCAAAAAAAAATCTCTAATGCATCTTTGCTGATGTCTTTTTTTGCTCAGAAGCCTTCAGTGCTGACTGGTGCCCTCAGTAAAAGCCCCAAAGTCAGGCGGGCCTGCACACTCCTGCCCGGGCAGCCTACAGTCGGCCTTCTCCCACACCAGTCACTTCAGCCCACTGTCCTGCTGCTCTGTGCTGCAGACCCTTCTCCTGCCTGGAATGGAAGCCACCAGTCTCTCCACTCCCAGTTCAGATGTCCCCTCCTGCGGGACAGCTGCAGTAGACGCCTCTTCTCCTGGCCGCCCATGGTGTTTTGTGAAACGTGTCTTGTCTGTTGTTAGTTTCTGCCTGGCATTGGGGCTTCCTGGGTTTGTCTTATCTTTTTTTTTTTTTTTTTTTTTTTTTACCAAGTTATTAGATCTCTGGTGATCTTCTTAGCCTCCTTGCATGACATGAGCCTTCACACACGTAGAGCACTCAGTAGGTATTACTGGTGCGTGACCTCTCACCTCTGGACATCACTCAGTCTCTGATCTGGTTCTGAAACCTGGAGGATCCAGGCTGCATCTGATGACCACAGCTGAGCGTGGAAAGAAGACTTAGCACGCGCTGGTGTGCAGTGGGTACTCGGGGCACCCTGCGTGTGCTCAACTGAGGGGGCGCCGGGAGGAGAATGGGCATCTCTGAAAGCTTTCATTCTTGGCCAGGTTGTCTATGGTGGAAACGTTTGCCATTTCCCCGGCTGACGCGTGTGAGATTGAGAGAGAGAGGCAGGCGCAGGACTCTGTGAAACGACAGCAGGGCTCCAGAGATGGGCTGGGGGCCTTCCTGTCCCAGCAATTTCTGGCCAGAGGAGAGGGAAACCCCCTCAGGTCACTTCAGCCACCGGACTGGCAGACGTGAGTGTGTGGCATGGAGCAGACATCCTGCCACCCTCCTGGGCTCTGGGGAAGCCAGGCGTGAAAGCAGAGGCTGCCGTGACGCCCTGGGGTGGCCTTCGGTCTCAGCACCGCCCTGGAGTGTTGGCCCCTGCTCTGCCAGCCTCCCTCCATGTCAGGAGGCCGGCCCCTGCCTCCGTCGCCCTCTGCTTGCAGCCCTGAGTGTCTGAGAAGCCAGGCCAGGGCAGCCGGCCCGGCAGCACTGAAGTGGTGGCTGTGATTCTTCGGGCATCTTGGGGAGACAGCTGATAACACCAGAGAAAAGCACACACACAGGAGACTTTGTTGAGATCATCGTTATGTCTCCGTTTTCCTTTCCCAGGTCTAGGTGTTAGCAGTGGATTTAGGCAGCCGTTTCATTCATTGGTGTAGACCAGCAAGTCTCAAACTTGTGTCACCTGGAGGGTTTGCTAACTCAGCTTGCTGGGCCACGCCGCCACCTCAGTTTCTGAGTAGGTCCAGGGTGGGGCCTGGGGATTTGTGTTTCTACTAAGGTCCCACCTGATATTTATGAAAGCTGCTGTCTAGGAACCCACCTTGAGAACCACTGGTATAAGTGGTAGTTTTTCTTACAGAAAAAAAGTGAATATTTACTAAGGATACTGTTTCACTTAAATTCATTGGATATCATTTATGTTGGATGTTATAGCTCAGATGCTGTATTTTATTTTTTTATTTTAAATGTTTATAGAAATAAAAGAAGAGCTTGAAGATCTGAACAAAGAAATCAAGAAAACTGCAAATAAAATTCGAGCCAAGTTAAAGGGTAAGTTTGAAGTTTTATGTTTAATTGGGAGTGTGGGTTTTTGTTATTTTATTCTTTATTGGTTTTTGTTATTTTACATTTTTAAAAATTAAAATTGTGACTGCTTCAAAATAAATTATTTGTATGTAATTCAGAGTACTAATTCATGTTGAAAAAGGTTGTGTGTTTGCTTATAAACTGTTACTGTTACATTTTTTATGGCATTTCAGGCTAAGTTGCAGATGTTCGGGAGGGTGAATTGCCAAGCTCTTCTTAAATGGACCCTTTAATTGCTCGTTTCTTTCAAACTCAGTGGAATTTATTTGATGATGTTTGGCATTCCGCTTTAGCAGCAGTCGTTTTTTGGAAGGCTTATGGCTTTTACCTGGGACTTAAACAGAGGTTGCTTTTTCTTGATTTGGTAGAAGAACACATTGTATTTGATTTTTGCAGAATGGCATCACGATCAAAAACAATCTCTGTGCAGATGATAAAATACTTTTATTACGGTATTACGACAGGTTTCAGATGTGTGCAGAAGCAGAGGGCGACCACAAGCTAACCCCCCAGCTCCACATTTCTCCATGAGCTCCCACCCCGACCCGCTCCCAGAGTATTCTGAAGCCCACCTCAGGCATCTGAGATTTCATCAGTGTGTATTTCAAAAGCAGAAGCTTCCCCCAGAGCACACCCACAATCATATCGAAACCCAAATTCATTATAATTACTTAATAGTACAAAATATCCAGCCAGAGATTCTGTTTCCCCAGTGGTCTTATGATTTTTTTTTTTTTAAACAGTTTGCTTGAATTGAGTCCCAAGTAAGGACCAAACTCTGGCTTTAAAAAATGAGAGTCTCCCTTCATCATTTTTCTCTCTGGCACTTTTTCCTTTGGTTGGTGAAACCAGGTCATTTGTCCCACAGAATCGGCCACGCTGCAGATTTTGCTGATTTTACCCCTGCAGCGTGTTTAATAGGCTCTGCCGTCCTCTGAATTTGCTGTGGGTTGGTAGTTAAAGTCTCCAAGCTTTATCTGATTCAGGTGTTTTTTGTGGGTTTTTAAAATGTAAAGATGCAGCATCTGATTACAGATTTTATGTCCTCATGGTTATGTTAAGATGTTAGTGGTGATATTAACATTTTTTCTTGGCTCTAAGTAAGTTCAGTAAAATTTTAAATAAGATATAACATTCTTTTCTATTCTGTGATATTGTCAAAAATGGATGATTGTTTCCAAGATCCATAATTCATTAGCAGTTGCGAGCAGTAATATCTTGATTTTTTTTTTTTTTTTTTTGAGACGGAGTCTCTGTCACCCAGGTTGGAGTGCGATGGCATTTTCTTGGCTCACTGCAACCTCCACCTTCCGGGCTCAAGTGACTCTTCTGCTTCAGCCTCCTGAGTAGCTGGGACTACAGGCGCCCTCCACCACACATGGCTAATTTTTGTATTTTTAGTAGAGACAGGGTTTCGCCATGCTGGCCAGGCTGGTCTCAAACTCCTGACCTCAAATGATCCGCCCGTCTCAGCCTCCCAAAGTGCTGGGATTACAAGCGTGAATATCCTGATTTTATTATTCCTTCTTTGTTTAGTTGCTGGAATAGTTATTTAAAAAGAAACCTTTCCCCTTCAACTCTTGAATTGGATAAAGTTTGGAGAATCTGTCAGCCCACAGTAAATACAGAGGACAGCAGAGCCTGTTGAACGTGTTGCCCTGCAACAGCAGGGTGAAATCAGCAAAGTGTGCAGCAGGGCAGGTTCTGTGGGACAAATGACCTGGCTTCTCCGACCAAGGGAGCCAAAGTGCATTCTGGGTCACAGATCATGGAGGACAGAGAGGATCAGCGTTGTACTCTCTCTCTCTCTGGTGTAATTTTCATAGGTCGGTTCCCTGGAGTCCTCCAGAGATGACCAGGGAGAGTCTCTGTTGCTGCTTCTCGTCCATCATCGTGAACACATGGATTTAAACACATCTGATGTTTTCATTGTTGCGTTCTCCTCAATGCTCAGATGGTCTCTTTGGCTAGTAAGGTGGACTCTTGAGTCCTTTTGGTAGGCCCCTCATGTCTGTGACAGCCTTTCCACTTTTTGCTGTGACAAAAGGACCCATGCTCATTTTACCCCTTTCCTGCCCTGGGCCTGGGATCAGCCATTTCCCCAGGGAGCCCCGCTGCTGTGTCTGAAGAATGTTATCTAGACACCGAGGTCGGCATACTGGGGAATGTATTGCCATACATGACGATGACCTGACCATTCTTTCCTGGGCTTTTGCAGTGGATTGGGCTAAGATTTTTTAAAAAGATAAAATGAATCATGATTTGTTACTGAGACTCCAAATTAAGAATAAAGGAAGGACTAAAAAAATTTTTTTGAAAGGATTTTTACTTAATACAGGCAATATTACATCTTTATCTCCTTTCAACTATGCCCCAAATTCTGGTTCTCACTGACACTTACATAATTATTCACTTGCTTTTCATAGTACACGCAACAACAGACCCAAACTAATTATGCCAGCATCTACTGTCAAGAGTATGATTACTTAAAAGTTTATTTTTTATTTTTTGTGTCATTCTTTTTGTCTATAGTGTATCCCACTGGACTATATAATCAGATCATTTGTTGTTGCTGTTGTTGTTTGAGCTGAGGTCTTGCTGTGCTGGCCAGGCTGTAGTGCGGTGATTGTTCACCAGTGTGATCATGGTGCACTACAGCCTCGAACTCCTAGGCTCAAGTGACCCCCCAGCAGTTGTGATTACAGGCACACGCCACTGTGTCCAGCTACAAATTACTGGGTTTCAAAGTTACTTTGAATGGTTTTTCCTCTGTGTGTTTATTTATATTTTTGAGATGGAGTTTCGCTCTTTTCCCCTAGGCTGGAGTGCAATGGCACGATCTCGGCTCACTGCAACCTCTGCCTCCTGAGTTCAAGCAATTCTCCTGCCTCAGCCTCCCTAGTAGCTCTGATTACAGGCACCTTCCACCACGCCTGGCTAATTTTTGTATTTGTAGTGCAGACAGGGTTTCACCATGTTGGCCATGCTAGTCTCAAACTCTTGACCTCAAGTGATCCGCCTGCCTTAGCCTCCCAAAGTGCTAGGATTACAGGTGTGAGCCACCGCGCCCGGCTCCTCTGTGTGTTTATATCATTAACTTGACTTACTGTTAGTTTTGTTTTATTTTTTCCTTTGAAGTTTAGGGATTAATGCTTTTAAAATTTAATTTTGCATTATAGTTTTGTGAAGTATTTATGTTATTCTGAAGTCAAATTTATAAAACATATTCAGAGTCTAGCTTCTTTCTTTGTCCCCCCCTTGTTTCTCCTTTCCCTTTAGCGGTACCTAGTTTTAACATTTGTTGATTATGTTTCCATTTTTTTGGATGAGTAAATATGTATTTGTATTTATGTGTGTATATATATATCTGTGTGTATCTGTGTATGTATGTGTGCATATATGTGTATATGTCTCTCTGTGTGTATCTGTGTATATATGTGTGCATATATGTATATATACATCTGTGTGTATATATGTGCATATATGTGTATATATGTGTGCATATATGTATATATATCTGTGTGTATCTGTGTATATGTGTGAATATGTGTATATATCTGTGTATATATGTGTGCATATATGTATATATATCTATCTGTGTATATATGTGCATATATGTGTATATATATCTGTGTGTATCTGTATATATGTGTGCATATATATATCTGTGTGTATCTGTGTATATATGTGTGCATATATGTGTATATATATCTGTGTGTATCTATGTATATATGTGTGCATATATGTATATATACATCTGTGTGTATCTGTGTATATATGTGCATATATGTGTATATATATCTGTGTATCTGTATATGTGTGCATGTATGTGTGTATATATCTGTGTGTATCTGTGTATATATGTGTATCTGTGTGTATCTGTGCATACGTGTGTATATATATCTGTGTATATCTGTGTATATATGTGTGCATATATGTGTATATATACCTGTGTATCTGTGTATATATGTGTGCATTTATGTGTATATATATCTATGTGTATCTGTGTATGTATGTGTGCATATATGTGTATATGTCTCTCTGTGTATCTGTGTATATATGTGTGCATATATGTGTATATATATCTCTGTGTATCTGTGTATATATGTGTGCATATATGTGTATATATATCTGTGTGTATCTGTGTATATATGTGTGCATATATGTGTATATATATCTGTGTGTATCTGTGTATATATGTGTGCATATATGTATATATACGTCTGTGTGTATCTGTGTATATATGTGCATATATGTGTATATATATCTGTGTATCTGTATATATGTGTGCATATATGTGTGTATATATGTGTGTATCTGTGTATATATGTGTGCATATATGTGTATCTGTGTGTATCTGTGCATACATGTGTATATATATATCTGTGTATATCTGTGTATATATGTGTGCATATATGTGTATATATACCTGTGTGTATCTGTGTATATATGTATTGCATTATGTATATATATATATCTATGTATCTGTGTATGTATGTGTGCATATATGTGTATATATCTCTCTGTGTATCTGTGTGTATATGTCTCTCTGTGTATCTGTGTATATATGTGTGCATATATGTATATATATATCTGTGTGTATCTGTGTATATATGTGTGCATATATGTATATATATCTGTGTGTATCTGTGTATATATGTGTGCATATATGTGTATATATCTGTGTATCTGTGTATATATGTGTACATATATGTGTATATATATCTGTGTATCTGTGTATATATGTGTGCATATATGTGTATATATATCTCTGTGTATCTGTGTATATATGTGTGCATATATGTGTATATACATCTGTGTGTATCTACATATACATGCTTCTCAAGAGCAGTAATAACTTTCTCTTGATGGGGTTGGGCACAGTAGCTCACACCTGTAATGCCAACACTTTGGGATGCCAAGGCAGGTGGATCACTTGAGCTCATGAGTTCGAGACCAGCCTGGGCAACATGGCAAAATCTTGTCTGTACAAAAAATACAAAAATTAACTTGATGTGGTGGCACACGCCTGTAATCCCAGCTACTCAGGAGGCTGAGGTGGGAGGATTGCTTGAGCCTGGGAGGCTGAGATTGCAGTGAGCTGAGATTGTGCCCCTGCACTGCAGCCCGGGTGATAGAGCCAGACCTTGTCTCAAAAAACAATTTCCTATTGAGGGATTGTCTCTTTAGTAGATTGCTTTAAAAGGTCACTTGTTCATTAGCTTTAGTTTTATAAAGGTACTTGAAAGATAAAAAATAAAAGGAATTTGAAGTTAGGCTTGAAACATTTTCAGTTTTAAATTTGGAAGGTAATTATTTCCTATTTGTTCCTAGCTATTGAACAAAGTTTTGATCAGGATGAGAGTGGGAACCGGACTTCAGTGGATCTTCGGATACGAAGAACCCAGGTTTGGTATCAGCCTCATTTAGATTGAAGTAATACCGCAGAATAAGTGTTTTTACTTTCTTCTTGCAGACTCTGAATAATTTCATCTTTACTGTCATGCTTATCCTCACAGTATTTCTGCACAAAGATAATACAGTATTATAAAACAAAAGTATCAGAGACAGAGGTTTATTTTGCCAAAGCAGAGGACACACTTGGAAAAAAGAAATACAAATTAGGGTAGGATCTGTGGTTTGTGCCTTTCCCGAAGAGGGTTTTGAGGACTCTGATATTTAAAGGGGAAAGAGCAGGCAGGAGAGGAAGGAGGAAAGGGGGAAAAAAAAGAGAAAAAGCGGGGGTAGGCAGCGAGGTGGCCACGCTGTTGTGAGGCTTTGGTCAGTGCTCACTGCGTTCACATTTCACATGTGGGAAGAGAGGAGTGGGGGTTGATTCTGCACTCCTCCCGTGCCTCCTACCTGGGCCAATGTGAGCCTGAGTTGAGGGAGGAGCTATCCATGCATTTCTCAGGGTGGGCTGAGGGTGACTTGTAGTCTTGTCTTTGTCCTGTACCGGTGAAGATAAGCGGCTGACGGACATTGTCAGGGTGAGATTCAGCAGAACTCTGTTTTAGAGTTAGTTTTTGGGGGGATGTGGATTCTGAAAGAGTCTGGGACCCACGAGGAATTTCCTTGTGAACACTTTGTGTGGGAGGCCGCTGGGGAGGTGTGTGGCCTTCTGTCCCTGCAGCCATCTGTTTGGGAAGAGGAGGGAGGGCAGTGGTTTTGTATGACTCAGTTCCCAAGCTTAACTGTCCCGTTGGGTTAGTGAGTGTGAGGTCCTGCGATTTTATTTTCCTTTCACAGTATTTGTAGAACATCTCTTTATTGTGAAGAAAAATCTATTCAATCCATCAACAGAGTTCTATTCCGAAGAGCAGGGATTATCCCAATGATTTGAGTGTGGTCAGGCCGCCACGTTTCAGTGGTTTGTGGTGCAGCCCAGAGGAAGACAGAGCCCTGAGGCCTCGTGGGCACGAGGCGATGAAGCCTGCGGACTCTGGGGTCTGCCTGCCTGGATCCCAGCAGTGATCCATGTTTATTAGAAAAGCCTGTGACCTTGGGCTAATGACCTCAAAGTCATGGTTTTCTTTAAGAGGGATGTGACTGGCATAATAGGGCTCTTGTGAAAATTAGGTAAGATGATGCCTGCAAAGGTCTCAGCACAGATGCCATCATGGGGACTTTGCCACTGTCATTTTCCATTTGCAGGAACAGAAGAACATGTAGTTTGAGTTTCCAAAATGCATGTCTTGCATGTCACTTTCAGTAGGAGGCATGGCCCTCAGATACGAATGTAGTTTTCCTGTGTTGTTAGCATTCGGTGCTGTCTCGGAAGTTTGTGGAAGCCATGGCGGAGTACAATGAAGCACAGACTCTGTTTCGGGAGCGGAGCAAGGGCCGCATCCAGCGCCAGCTGGAGATAAGTGAGTAATGGAGACTCCGTCTTTGTTAAAATCATGTTTTTCTCCCTTAGGGTCTCACTTCAAATGACTTTAACTTCAGAAAAGGAACTCCATGTCTATTTTCACCAATACTGTAAAACCCAAAGACCACTTGTAGCTTCCTGTGCCATGAGTTGGGCAAACCTGTTCTTCAGGAAATCCTAAGCGGTGGGGTTTACCTTGCTCATTGCCATTGCTTTTAGAGTTTCAGGGAGATTGGGAGAGTGTTCAGTCATTTCCTCTTTGAGTGTTTCTGTGTCCTCAGTCCCGTCCTGCCCTGGTTCGGGGGCATCTTCGTGGCTCCCCACAGCTCTCCATGTCCGTGAGCACAGGCAGCAGCCCTACTGCCCCAGACTCTTTTCAAGGGTGTCTGTGGGGACAGTTGGCCATGGCAGTGGAGATGGCGCCTTCTTCGGGGACAGACAGGTCTGTTTTGGGGATAAAGGTTGGTCAGGTTTGCAGACTCCCCATTGTGAAAGATTGGGGTTCCCAAGCTCAGGTCCTTCAGACACACAGACCCACTGTGAGGACGTCCCACTGTGGCTGCTCTCCCTCTCCCCATGAGACTGGGGGCTGTGGACAGCTGCTCATGAGCCTCAGGTTGCCTGCTGTGCTGTGAGTAGGAAAGCCCTTTGTCCCTGACCTGGGACCTTGGACCTTCTTCCGGCCTCCACGGAGTCCTGGCAGGGCAGCGTGTCAGCTCGCAGGTCAGATGAAGCCTCAGGCCCATCCTGGCTCCCAACGCTGCAGGTCCCCCTCGGAGAATGTTGTCATACACCCGCCAGGCTGCAAGTTGCTTGACCTTGTCCCCCAGCTCAGCGAGGCTCCTCATGTTTTAGATGCTCTTTTCCAGTGTGTTTGGTTTTGGTCAGTTTCTCTTGCTTGTGTGATGTGCCTTTAACCTCCTCCAGTGTACGTTTCATCTGAGACGCTGTGGTTTCTGCCGCTAGTTCTGCTGGGTGTTTTCCCACTGCACACCTGGGACGCACTTGCAGTAACTTGTCACCTCTTTGTCTGCCAACTCCAGTGTCCTGTCTGCTCCGGTTGGTTCATTTCCTTCCTTTCTGTGGCTTGTGTTTTCCTGCTTCTTTGCAAGCCTGGTAAATTTCGAGTGTGTGCCAGACATTGTGAATGTTACTTTATTGAGTGGTGAGTATTTCTGTATTTTGAGTATTTTTGTATATCTCCTTGGCCTTTGTTTTAGAATGTAGTTAAATCACATGAGCATGCTTTATCCTTTGGGATCTTGTGTTTAAAGGGAGCAGAGCAGCTTTATTTGCAGGCCTGTCGTTCCTCACTCCTGACGCAAGACCCTTCTGAGTACCTGCTCTGATGGCTGCGAACCTCATGGCACCCTCATCTGCCTGGCAGTGTGTTCCTCTGGCACGCCAGTCAGCCCTCCCGTGAGCATGCGGGGTCTGTGCAGCTCGCTCTCTGCATCTCTCTCATCTCTCGTACTCCATCTTGCAAATCCGGTTGCCTTGGTCTCCCCTGAGCTCTGTGCCTTTGCCTTAGGACCTCCCCTGGGCTCCACCTGGGCCCCGTCTGCTCTGTGGCCTACACGAGAATTCCACCTGAGGGCAGCGGTGGGCTCACCTGGCTTGTTTCCATCTGTGGGGAATCTGTGTGTGGCCTGACGCTCAGTGTCTTGAAATCATTGTTTTGTAGATTTTGGTGGGTTTGTTGTTGTTATTTCAAGTGGCAGGGAAAAGACGGTCCCTGTTGCTCCATCCTGGCAGAAATGCTCCATCATGATGTCGACTAGACTGCTTTTCCGTGAAAAGTTTGTACAAACCGCTTTGACTTCAGGGATCTGTTAGTCCTTTTTAAAGTGAAAGTCATCATTACAGGCAGCTGGTTGCACTGTGAGGATTTGCGCTCTGGGACTCTGTGGTGAGCACTTCCTAGCACTTCCTAGCACAGTGTCCCCCAGCCTGGGGTTGAAGGCCCCGCGCTGTCTCTCCTGCAGGTCCATCCTGTCTTCACTCCCCGTGAATCCCGTAGCGTGATCAGATCACCTGTCTCTTCTCTCTTTCCCACATTATTCTATCTTAGCCCACAGAATTTCATTTCCAGTTTCTTCTCTTGCAATCGTGCTCTTGTCGAATGCAGTACTGTTTGTGAAAGTGTCTTATAAGCAATGAAGTATCATATACATGTTGGGAGTTTTTTTTAGTAATTCTTTTAAGTCTGTTAAATTCTAAACCCTCCATGTGGCTATTCCGAAGTGAGCAGATCTATGCAAACTCACCCCCAAAGGCTGAGCGAGCAGAGAGGCCAAAGAAAGAGGCTAACAAATCCAGTTTCTCGGAAGGAAACACTGAATAGGGACGTACGAACACAAGCCCGCAAGAGACAGAGACGGTGGATCCCCACAGCCGCCTGCCCTCCAGAAAGCGTTCTTTATAAAGCAGGCTTTCAGGTTAGAATGTGTGCAGCCAGCCCTGTCTTCAGACTTGCTTGACGAGACTTGCGACCACTGGTCAGGCTGGATGAGCATCTTGATGAGAGGTTGCCTGCGCCACAGGCATTGTCTTCAGACCTCGTTGCAGAACAGCTTGTCATGCACGAGTCAAACATCTGTCGTCACGGCAGTTTTCCTTCAGGATGGCGTCACTCTGGCCACACAGCGGTGGTCTTCTCCAAATCCTTGCACCTAGAACCATTTTTTCCCCTTTCTTTCTTCCTTCAGTCAGCCCTGTTGTCAGCAGGCTTCTTACCTTGTGTCACAGGATATCTTTCCCTGTGCTGTATGCTTTATTTCTTCAAATGTCAAGTGAGTTTCTTCTTGTACCAGGGCATGTTAGACAGGCCCACAGTGCTTTCTCTGGAATGGTTGGGGCTGTGTGTGTTTCAGAGTTCAGAACGGTTCAGATTTTAGGAAGATAGTACGATGTATAAGAGGTGTATTATGTACTCCCCAGGTGGGGTCTAGGACGGCAGCCTGTAATCAGGCACATTCACAGAGCTCTCCAGAGAAAGGTGAGTATTCACAGTAAGTGGGATGAGTTAAGATTATAAATAGCCATGACTCAGTTTAGGTAAGATTTTGCCGCTCATTGAATATTGACATCAAGCTTAAGAGAAAACCCAGGTTTCATAATGTTTTGGATTTCAGCATTCCGGATAAGGAATTAGGAACGTACACTGCATTTCACATGCCATAACCCCAGGCTGTTTCTCAGACTTAGCAGTTAGCCAGTGGGAAGAGCTTTGTGAACGTGAGACATGAGCTGTAACTTTTAGGTTTTTTTTTTTTTTTTTTTTTTTTTTTGAGAGTCTCACTCTGTCACCCAGGCTGGAGTGCAATGTTGTAATAACCATTTATTGTGGCCTCCAAGGGATCCTCCCACCTCAGCCTCTCGAGTGGGACCACAGAAGCACACCACCATACCTGGCTAATTTTATTTTTTGTAGAGATGAGGTTTTCACTATGTTGCCCAAGCTGAAATTTCTAGTTTTGATGATTATATTTTACATTATTTAAAACACTTTTCATGTTTTTAAAAAAGCAAAGCAAAACTGAGAGACTCTCCTTATTGAGCTATTTTGAATAGATTTTAAAATTTTATTTTATTTTATGTTTTGTAGAGATGGGGTCTTGCTATGTTGCCCAGGCTAGTCTCAAACTCCTAGCCTCAAGCAATCCTTCCACCTTGGTCTCCCAAAGCACTGGGATTATACATGTAAACCACCATGTTTGCCCTTAAATAGATTTTTAAATGATTGAGAATTACCTCCCAAAAAACAGTGTAAGTAAACAAATTTTGCAATTTACTAACTTTAAACTTTTTTCATTAAATGACATCTCAACCACTTTATTTAGAAGTAAATCTCTTAATATGTGAATGATATTTGGGGCATACAATTAATTCAGTGGTTTTTGGTATATTCCCACACACAATCAATTTTAGAACACTTTTACCACACCAACAGGAAATTTCACACACACCACCAGTCACTCTGCATTTCCTCTTCTCCTGACCCAAGGCAACTGCATTCTACTTTTTAGCCCTGTACATTTTCCATTTTGGATGTTTCGTATAAACGGAATGATACACTATGTGTTCTTCTGTGACTGACTTCTTTCCTGTAACACAGTTTTTGCAAGGTTTCACCATGGGGTGGGTGGGGTGTGGTGGCTCACATGTATACTAATCTCAACACGTTGGTTGGGAATCCAAGGTGGGAGGATTACTTGAGGCCAGGAGTTCAAGACCAGCTTGACAACATAGCAAGACCCCGTCTGTAAAAAAAAAAAAAAAAAAAAAATTAAAAAATAAACTAGGCATGGGGTGTGTGCCTATAATCTCAGTCACTCGGGAGGCTGGGGCAGGAGGATTGCTTGAGTCTAGGAGGTCAAGGCAGCAGTGAGCTGAGATTACACCACTACACTCCAGTCTGGGTGACAGAGTAAGACCCAGGCTGGGTACGGTGGCTCACGCCTGTAATCCCAGCACTTTGGGAGGCTGAGGTGGGCAGATCACTTGAGGTCAGGAGTTCGAGACCAGCCTGGCTAGCATGGTGAAACCCCACCTGTACCAAAAAATACAAAAATTAGCTGGGCGTGGTGGCGCGCCCAGGTAGTCCCCGCCACTCAGGAGTCTGGGGCATGAGAATCGCTTGAACCCAGGAGGAAGAGGTTGCGGTGAGCTGTGATTGTGCCCCTGCACTCCAGCCTAGGTGACAGAGTAAGACCCTGTCTCAAAAAACAAAACAACAAAACCCCAAAGCATCCTTTCTTTTTGTGGCTGAATTGTACGTCAGTGTGTGGCTAGACCGCGGTTTGCTCCCTCAGGCATTGGGGGACAGACGTTTGCGTTGTTTCCACTTTTTGGCAATTATGAATAATGCTGCTTCTTAGATGACATTTGAATTATTATGACATTTATTCATTTTCTTTTGTTTTCTGTGGCACAAACTATGAAAAATAGTAATTAACAGTTAGGTTTCCAAAAACCTATGTACATGTTTCTTAGAAGTCATTACACATTTGCGTGGTGGCTCATGCCTGTAATCCCAGCACTTTGGGAGGCCGAGGCGGGCGGATCATGAGGTCAGGAGTTCAAGACCATCCTGGCCAACATGGTGAAACCCTGTCTCTACTAAAAATACAAAAATTAGCTGAGCATAGTGGCGCATGCCTGTAATCCCAGCTACCCAGGAGACTAAGGTAGGATAATTGCTTGTACCAGAACCTGGGAGGCAGAGGTTGCAGTGAGCCAAGGTCGCGCCACTGCACTCCAGCCTGGGCTACAGAGCAAGCCTCCCTCTCAAAACACGGAAAGTGTTCAGGCTTCTGACTCTCATTACATAGACTTTGTTGATCCCCATTTAATACATGCTACATTCAGCTTAACCCCCTTTTACATGAGGCAGAGTTAAACTCTTAGGGAAACCAGTGTGCCAAAACATTGTTTACCGATTTCCTTTCTGCAGTTGTTTCTCACTAATATTAAAATGAAATTGTGTTGTTCATAACATAAAGTGTTTTGGAGTGTTTTTAGTTCTTCCTGCTTCTCAATCTTAGGTTCATTTCTCATTGTCAATATCTGCTTAAGAAAAGGTTTAAAAAAATTATTGAAAAATGCTAACAACTACGATTGTAGTTGCTAACTTATGGTTGCAAACGGCCTTGTTTTTAAATTGTGCTGCATTCTGAGTGGGGCTGTGGTTGCGGGTCTTTCAGCTGGGAGAACCACCACAGACGACGAGCTGGAAGATATGCTGGAGAGCGGGAAGCCGTCCATCTTCATTTCCGACGTGAGTGGGGGCACGGCCCTGTGGCTCCATATCCTCTTCTGTAGACAGAGCTTTCTAAAAACCCTTTAACTCCCAAACCCATTGTCAGTTTATTAATATTCTCTTTTATTTTTGTTTTTCCAAGATTATATCAGATTCACAAATTACTAGACAAGCTCTCAATGAAATCGAGTCACGTCACAAGGACATCATGAAGCTGGAGACCAGCATCAGAGAGTTGCATGAGATGTTCATGGACATGGCTATGTTTGTGGAGACTCAGGTAGTTACAGACTCTTGCATTCTCCAAGAGAGATACAGTCATGTGTAAAATCTTACTACATCCCACTCTATCTAGTGGATGTATCTAGGAAAGCTGTTATTTTGAATCCACCAAATTCAAGTTAATTGCAGTGTTATGTGTGATGCTGAAATGCTGGAAGCAGCTTTGACAGTCGAAGTGTTAACAGGAAGGGACTGGTCCAGTGAATTAAATTATGGAGCGTTCGTAGGTCAGCCTTTTAGGCAACCACAGGCAACCTCAACTTTGTTCATGGAGAATTCTCATTGAAATATACAGATGTGTGTGCTAGAATTAGGAGAAAATGGAGATACAAAGATCTTCTTTGTATGTCCATGCATATGTATGAAAACATAAATGCAAACATGTGGTATGAGCTCGGCTCCATAGAACTCTTCACAGAAGGAAAGGCGTATATCAAACAGCGTATTGGCAGTGAGACTATGGGAATTTTAATCTTCTCTAAAAGTACTTATTTTCAGATTGTCTGCAAAGAGCATATATTACAGTAATAACTAGGAGAAATGTCTGAAAGAATCAACCCCAAGTGGGGATACAATCTATGACACAGGTAAAAGCTCGTGCCTGTTACACGGGGTTTCCCATCTGCCCAGTAACACAGACAGGGAGTGACAGCAGGAGTGGAAAGGCCCTTCTGAGTGAACTGGAGAGTTAATGTAATTCTTAAAAAATGGAAAACTCCTTTGGGAGGTTGAGGTGGGAGGATTGTTTATGCCCATGAGTTCAAGGCTGTGGTGAGCTATGGTCACGCCACTACACTCCAGCCTGGGTGACAGACTGAGACCCTGTCTCCAAAAAAAAAAAAAAAAATTGTATATATGTATGTATGTATTTAACTCCGTGTAAAGTACGGGATGGATCACAGTTGACATGCTCCGTGATGTGCATGGGGATGTTCACACTCGCTCTTTGCCTTTGAATAAGGTCCTCTCCCTATTTTTCAAACACCGTGGAGATAGGACTCTGTTGCTGGTTAGGATTCAGCTGACCACCAGGTGAAGCGGAAGCATTTATATCGAACCATCCTAAGAAAATGGTTTCCTCACTCCTCCTGAGGCTGGTTTCAGGATCTGTTTTGGCTGCAGTCGTCCCCTAAGTAGGTTCACATCTGATGGGCTTATTTTCTGGGACTGCCTGGATTGTGTAAGGTGGGATAGGAATCCACCCACACACAGGATTGTTCCTGTCTGCCTCACCAACCTTGGTAAGAAACACTGTTTATTTTGAGGAACTTTATCATGAGAATGTGTGTGAAAAACTCAGGCACCATGCCTATTTTTTTTTTTTTTTTGAGACGGGGTCTTGCTCTGTTGCCCAAGTTGGAATGCAGTGGTACAGTCTTGGCTCACTGCAACCTCTGCCTCCTGGCCTCGAGCAATTCTCCCGCCTCAGCCTCCCGAGCAGCTGGGAGCACAGGTGTGCACCACCATGCCCGGCTAATGTTTGTATTTCTAAGCATTTGCTAGAGGAAACCAACAGCTACACAGAGGGCAGGGATGGGATGATCTTACTCCTTTTTGATTTGGGGGGCCCCATTGCTATTCACAATATGAGAAGTGGAGTGTGGGGAGTCTGATTACCATTGGCTACTTATTTCCAGGAAGCATTCCAAAGGAAACCAGCTGGCCAGAAAGAATGAGAGATGATTTCTGTAATTACTAAAGCTTTTGTAGTACCTTAGACTTCAATTGTAATTGCCCTATACCAAATGCACTGCATTAAGCTCGGTTAGAAAAATGGCTGTATCCCTGGCTTTGTTTCACTGTTTCCTTTTAGCAGTCTGTTGGTATTAGATTATATTGACTCATCTAATGCAAATGTTTGCATAGTCAGAGCTTACTAGTAAGTCGAAGTCTGTGACTGAGTTAACTGTCCGTCATTCTTCAATGCTTTACGATTCACTGCTGCAGGTTGTGTCTGCCGACAGAAAACCAGGTAATACGTTTTCTCCCTCACACTTTGCTGAATTCACCTCTGTTTACATTTTGCTCATTGATGTAGTCGACTGAGTGTCAGATGTGAGCTGTGCTCAGTGTACTGATTTAAAGTAGTAGTTACAATTTTGTACTTTGTGGAAAAGATGTCATTCTTTGTACATCGTCTGTCTGCATAATGGTAAGATACTAGTTCAACCGAAAGTGGGCTGCCTCCTCCCCCTGCCCGTCTGTCGCAGCGTCTGCGTGCCAACGGTATCTCAGAATTGACTTGAGATGCCTTTAATTATCAACATGGCAGCCCTTTCCTTTCCGTTCTTTTTAAAATCTAAGTTGAGTTTTGATTGCTTTGCACCGGCACATGTATAATGGCCTCATCTTTTATCTTTCTGTGAATGTGAAGAAAACCCTCAGTATCCATTACATGCACATCATGTTTACATAACACCTTTGTTCTATGGTTGTCTTAAAGATACATAATTAAGCCATTTGAAAATGTCTTCTAAGTTTGAAACTTTTGTTTTAAGGGTGAAATGATCAACAACATAGAAAGAAACGTTATGAATGCCACAGACTACGTAGAACACGCTAAAGAAGAAACAAAAAAAGCTATTAAATATCAGAGCAAGGCGAGAAGGGTGAGTTTGGCTTGGAAGAATTAAGCTGCGTTTTTCTCTTTATTTGGTTTCAAGTTGTAATACATTGATGTAAGCCTGCCTGAAAGGTATTCCAAGAAATAATTAATTAAATAAATGTTTTGTTTTAAATATTCAATTTAAATATTCAATTTAAAATAATTTGTTTAAAAATGGAAATAATTCTTTTTGCTAAAAATTTAAAAAAGTTTATTGGATGAATTATTTGTAGTATAAACCCTTTTGTGTTCTAAGTAATTAAAACCCCAGGACTGGATGTGGTGGCTCATGCCTGCAATCCCAGCACTTTTTCTTTTTTTTTGGATTGGAGTTTCACTCTTGTTGCCCAGGCTAGTAGAGTGCAATGGAGTGATCTCGGCTCACTGCAACCTCCGCCTCCCGGGTTCAAGTGATTCTCATGCCTCAGCCTCCTGAGTAGCTGGGATTACAGGCACCCGCCACCATGCCAGGCTAATTTTGTATTTTTAGTAGAGTTAGGGTTTCACTGTGTTGGCCAGGCTGGTCTCGAACTCCTGACCTCAAGTGATCTGCCCATCTCCGCCTTCCAAACTGCTGGGATTACAGGCACTTTGGGAGTGAGCCACGGCGCCTGGCACCAGATTGTTGGCTACACATTTGATGCAATGAACACTGATTTTTTATTTAGGTTATTTGTGAATTCTTGGTTTGGAGGAAAGAAGAGAATTATTTGAGACGATGGACCTGCAATCTTAGGTAGCACCCACTTAAAGGGATTCTCAAAAGAAGGGAGCCCCTTTCACTTAAGATGCACAGACTTTGCATTTAAAAGGGTTCAGGGAACCCTGTGTGATTTTTTTGTTATGGGGCAAAAATTTAAAACTTATTCTTCTAACTTAGGCATTTTATCATAGTGCCTCTAACGCTGCAGAGAGTATGGGTTTTCCACATTGTCACCTCCTTGTGCTAATACACAGAGATGCTGAGGATGATGTGAGCTTTCTAAATGAGTTTTAATATCTTTGAATCTAAAGAGTATCATGCGTGAATGAAAGCTCTTCTGAGCAAACTTAGGAAACCACAAAGCTCATTTCCACCGAGTGACTTGGGCCCTGTGCATCTCACTGTGTGTCCCTGCCTGGCCGTTTCTCTCCAGTGTGGAGAAAGGTGAATACCCAAGCACCCAGCCCGGCTTGTGTATCCACTCACGCTTCCTGAAGACCGCTGTGGGGGCACGGTGCCTTTCTCAGAGGCTGACGGCTCAGTGCAATGTCAGCAGAAGTTCTGTAAAGAGAGATTTTCACCCAGTTAGGAACAAATGGAGTAAGACTGTGTGTGTGGATGCACCTCCAGGCGATGGCCCTGAGACGCACCCCCGGGCTGCAGGCTCAGTGGCCAGGGCACACCCTCCACTTACATCCCTGGGCTGCAGGCTTAGCCGCCAGGCCACACCCTCTGCTTACACCCCTGGGCTGCAGGCTCAGGTATCAGGCCACACCCTCACTCACACCCACACCCTGGGGCTGCAGGCTCAGCTGCCAGGGCACACCCTCTTCTCACACCCACCCCCGTGGGCTGCAGGCTCAGCCGCCAGGCCACACCCTCACTCACACCCCCAGGCTGCAGGCTCAGCCGCCAGGGCACACCCTCACTCACACCCCCCAGGCTGCAGGCTCAGCCGCCAGGGTACATCCTCACTCACACCCCCCAGGCTGCAGGCTAAGCCACCAGGGCACACCCTCCGCTTTTCCTGGGTATGTCTAAGTATGCTCCTCATCTCTGAAATGCCAGACATGGTTTCTCACGTTATTTCATTTATTGCTTTAAAACAATTGGCCCCTAATGTAAATTGAGGTGAAGAGATACCTGTATAAAGTGCTTAACTTAGTTCCAGGCCTAAGTCAGCTTCATTAAAAGAAGGCAGCCCCGTTCCTTTCTCCATGACCTGAACACATCAGTCCTGTGAAAACCATAGTGAAAGTCCATTGGTTTTACAAAGGAGGAAGGTGGTGGGTGTGTAAACGGTTTCATTCTCCCCTGTGGATGAGCAAGCCTGGCTCTATGAGGTGCTTGGGGTCTGTACGGTACCTGGTGGCGTGTAAACTGGTCAGAGACGTGATGCCTGTTTCAGAAATGACAGTGTCTTTTTGATTAGATGCCTGCTAATGGAACCCTCCTGGCTTGCCTGCCTGTCCCCTTGCCACTCAGATGCTTTGCTGCTGCCCCTGGCTCAGGTGTGGGTCGTCCCCACTCCTAGTGTCCTGCATTAATTCCTAGGGAGCCATGTGGCCCTCAGAGGGAGGCCAGGCACCGTTTGTAGAAGAGTTTTTTTTTTTTCCCTGTGTGCTATGTCAGGAGCAGTGAAGAAGTAACCACCAAGAACATAAAAGAAGGAGCAAAAGGCCGAGTGCTGAGCGTGTAGGGTTTCCTGAAGAGGCAGTGGGGCTCTCCGCCACTGAGCTAGCAGGCCCATACCTCTGAACATGCGGAAGACTAACTGCACGTCTCAGTCATCAGAAATGTAGCAAAATAACATGGTCGTGCTGTCCCCATGGATGAAACCTGAGATAACAGTTACATAGCAGCTTATCTCCAAGTAATCTGACCTTATTAAGTCACTCTCTCAGGAAATTGCCCAACAGGATTAAGCAGTGTCCTGTAACTTAGCTTCTAAAGTGAGTTCTGATGGGTGTTTGGCTTTATTTTATTTTATTATTATTTTTTTGAGATGGAGTCTTGTTCTGTCGCCCAGGCTGGAGTGCAGTGACATCATCCTGGTTCTCTCCAACCTCTGCCTCCTGGGTTCAAGTGATTCTTCTGCCGCAGCCTCCTGAGTAGCTGAGATTACAGACACATGCCCAGCTGATTTTTGTATTTTTAGTAGAGACAGGGTTTTGCCATGTTGGCCAGGCTGGTCTCAAACCCCTGACCTCAGGTGATCCACCTGCCTTAGACTCCTGAAGTGGTGGGATTACAGGCGTGAGCCACTGCACCCGGTCAGGTCGTTTTATTTTGAATGAAGGATGTCTTTTAATGTGGCAATATGAAATTAACCATGTGTGATGTAATCAGCTTGCTTTTCTTTGACAGAAAAAGTGGATAATTATTGCTGTGTCAGTGGTTCTGGTTGCCATAATCGCTCTAATTATTGGCTTGTCAGTTGGCAAATGATGGTGTGGATAACGTCAGTGTGCGTGCCTCTCTGCCAGGGTGGGAGTAAGTAACTCATCAACTAATTTACTTTTTAACGTTTGCAATTAACCAGTAACAGTGTTTGCTTAATTGTAATAGACATAAAACTACTAAAAGCTTGCCAGCCACGCAGTACAGATAACGCCGTCCAGTGATACATCTGCCTGTGTGCTGATTCTAGTGCCCGGCTGCTGTGTTTACCGAGAACAGGCATAGGCTAGGTGGTAACTCATTTTTAATCCAAGGCTACCTTCTTATCCTGTTTTTAAAAGTGTTTTTGAGACAGGGTCTTGCTCTGTCACCCAGGCTGGAATACAGTGGCATGATCATGGCTCACTGCAGCCTTGACCCCCTGGGCTCAAACTATCCTCCTACCTCAGCCTCCCGAGTAGCTAGGACTACAGACATGCACCACCACACCTGGCTAATTTTTTAAAAAATTATTTTTAGTAGAGATGAGAACTCTCTGTATTGCCCAGGCTGGTCTCGAATTCCAGGCCCTCGGCCTCCCAAAGTGCTGGGATCATAGACAGACATGAGCCATTGTACTCAGCCTGAATCTTTGGTTTTTGATCTAAGGAGACCATTAGCTCTTTACAGGTAGTGGGTCCTTCAATAAATGTCATAGAAATATCAGTGAAGATTAATTCTCAGTTATAAAACTTGTAATGTTTTGTCTCCTGAGTTTTAACTTTTAGAGTAATTGGCAACACTGAGAGGTACTTTATGAAATACATTAACGCATCATTTTACTATGGAATTGAGGGCATGAATTCATGCTGAGGAAAACACTGACTGAAAGGAAAATCCTTTGACCTTTCTATTTGGCAGCATCTATTTTATTTAAAAATATTTTCTTTAATATTAAAAGGAAACTTATGTATTATATTTGGTTAGCATGCCTGTTAATTCTTAAAGAATTCCGAATATAAAATTCCAGTTGATTGAAAGAATCATTGCCTTTGCTCACGGTGTGAGCGCCACCTTTCCTAAACTCCGGCGGGCTTTGTGGTTCCCCCGGTTCTCTCACCATTGGGAGCCCTCCTGGCACTAGCCCTGAAGTGGGAATGCTGCCAGTGTATTACAGTGGACACAGCGGGGATTTCTCTGTAAGTGTGTGTTTGGCATTATTCTTGTATTAGACAATTGTGAAATATCCCCAGGTGTCTAGAGTGTGGCAAGTCATCCTTGATGAATTTATTCTTGGGTTATGGAAGTGACTGCAGACTTGATAGTCACCTAAGGCTTTTTAAAAGGTTAACATACAGCAGAAAGGAATCACGAGCATAGTTAAGTCTCACTACTGCTTTGTAATCTGTAAGATTTATTCCTTCAACGTGGCAACACCCTGTCTCTACAGAAAAAAAAAAAAAAAAAATCCAAAAAACTAATTGGGCATGGGGGCACACACACCTATAGTCCCAGCTACTCCAGAGGCCAAGGCAGGAGGATCACCTGAGTCTGGGGAGGTCGAGGCTAGAGTGAGCCTAGATCGCACCACGGCACTCCAGCCTGGGTGACAGAGCGGGACCGTCTCAAAACAAAAGATTGATATCTTAATGTGAGCATCTGTTACGTTCACCATACGCAGTTACCAGATGATAAGTTTTCAAGTTAGTGTTCTGACATTTATGCAAAAGCCACAGAATTACACCTGGAATTCCTCCATATGGAGCTCTGGGATGCTGCGTGTGTTAACATTCCGTTATTTGGCAGTCAGAACTCTCTTACACTCTATTTTTATTAGGCAGGATGTTTGTGTAGGATGTTTATTAGGCAAGATGTTCTATTTTTTTCTTCTGAGCTCTGCTGAACATATTGTACATGTGATTTTTCTTCATTGTTATAGTGGTATTTTTCAATATTTTCATGATTCTAACATGTACTTTCTGAGTTTTTTCCTAATACTATAATATGGTTAGTTTAATGTGGTTACACTAAAGATAAAATTACAATTTTTAGCTTGGACACAGTGAAATGCGCTACTTTTCATGGGCACTACTTGGCATTGAGGCTGACTAAAAGAAGGCTCCTCTCAGTGTGACCCCTGGGGAGTGGGGCTTCAAGTCCTGTGCCCTGGGCCTGGCTGGCCATTTCACCCTAGTGTATGTAAATAAGAATGAACACAGAAGGATCCTCATTCATAAAAAACAGACCAAAATGAATACCAGCAGTTATCTTTGCATAGGAAGGCAGTGGTTAAGGTCCTTAATTTCACTTTTAAAATATTAACATAGCCTTTCATCCTTTAGCAATTGGCCTTCCTGGGGCTGGGTACGCCCCTCCCTGCAGGGTGTGCCAGGTGCAGGCCCGTCACCCCGGAGCGTGGGTGGGAGCGTGGGTGGGAGCGTGGGCGGGAGCGTGGGCGGGGATGCGTGGGCGGGGATGCGGGGGCGGGATGTGTGGGCGGGGAGCGGGGGGCGGGATGCGTGGGCGGGAGCGTGGGTGGGATGCGCTGCTTTCAGGAGACAGGCTTGAGTCTTAGTCGGTGAGAGGGCCCTGGCCCAGACCTGGAGCTGGACTCTCCAGCGTGTGCCTCTCCACTCTCGCTGTCACCAGGAGATTAAATGACTCCTGGGTCCTGCACCCTAGACTCCATGTAGTTGACAGTCATCCTGAAAGCCAGATGTGGCAGGAAAGTGCACACACGTCGAGCACCCAGACGCGTGGCAGGCAGCGCAACAGCGGCAGGAGGTGAGAGCGCTGCGTGGAGCTGACTCGAGGTGGCCCCAGCACACTCACTTGCTGAGCGCGAGGGCGTACCTCCCTCTGGAGGGAGGGAAGGCATCACAGAGAAAGGAAGAAGAGGTTTCTCTAGGAAGGTGCTGAGAGAGGGGCATAGGAGCGCATGTAGAGGATGAGAGAGTGGCTGGGGCTTTGCAGGAAATGTGCGTGATGTTAACAGGGAACTAGAATTCCAGGGAGGGGCCCTCCTGCAGGCAGCTCTCCCTGGTGGTGAGGAGTCACTGGGAGGCTCACCGGGGCCTGCCATGGGCCTCTTGATATAACTGACTGAGCCCGCAGTGTTAGAGCTGTCCAGGCTCAGTAAACAGGATTTCTTAGGTAAAAGCACTCATACATTTGAAACTGTCATTAAAATGATGGATCTCGATCTCTGCTTTTCAAAAAGAGAACTCAAAGTCCTACAGCGCGGTGCCTCCTGCCGTGTTTTCCTTCCCTTCCCTCAGACAGCTCCCTGGAGGAGACTCCATTTATTAAGCCAAAGGTGGCCTCGCTTTCCCTTGTGTGAGGATACTTGTTAATTTTTAAAAAGTTAAATGCTGTGTCGCGCCCTGCTTTGAGACCATCAATGCAGTAGAAGAATGAATGAATGTCTTGTTGATTTCTTACACATGTTCGTCACATTTAAATGCAAAAAATAGATAAGGCCAGGTGCAGTGGCTCATGCCTGTAATCCCAGCACTTCAGGAGGCCAAAGCAGGAAGATCCCTTGAACCCAAGAGTTCGAGACTAGTCTGAGCAACACAGCAAGACCCTCTCTCTTAAAAACGTATTTTTTAATTAGCCGGGCATGGTGGTGTATGCCTGTCATCCTAGCTCCTTGGGACACTGAGGTGGGAGGATTGCTTGAGCCCAGGAGGATGTGTTTGCAGGGAGCCATGTCTGCACCACTGCCCTCCAGCCTCGGCAACAGAGTGACACCTCCTTTCAGAAAAGAAAGAAAAAATAGGATTTTTCAGCCAACAAGAAATTCATGTAAAGTTTTAAAAAGATGTGTAATTCATCCAATTAACAGCAATCCTGGAGTTTTATTATGATTAAAAGAAAGTGTCGGCCGGGCGTGGTGGCTCACACCTGTAATCCCAGCACTTTGGGAGGCTGAGGTGGGTGGATCATGAGGTCAAGAGATCGAGACTATCCTGGCCAACATGCTGAAACCCTGTCTCTACTAAAAATACAAAAATTAGCTGGGTATGGTGGCGGGTGCCTGTAATCCCAGCTACTCGGGAGGCTGAGGCAGGAGAATCGCTTGAATCCGGGAGGCGGAGGTTACAGTGAGCTGAGAGCACATTCTTTTCTATGACAAGGAGGAGTCCTTTCTTGATGATGGATTTATTTATTTATTTATTTATTTATTTATTTATTTATTTGAGATGGAGCCTTGCTCTGTTGCCCAGGCTGGAGTGCAGTGACCGGATCTCAGCTCACTGCAAGCTCTGCCTTCCGGGTTCACGCCATTCTCCTGCCTCAGCCTCCCGAGTAGCTGGGACTACAGGCGCCCGCCACCTCGCCCGGCTAGTTTTTTGTATTTTTTAGTAGACACGGGGTTTCACCGTGTTAGCCAGGATGGTCTCGATCTCCTGACCTTGTGATCCACCCGTTTCAGCCTCCCAAAGTGCTGGGATTACAGGCTTGAGCCGCCGCGCCTGGCCCCCTGGATATATTTTTTAAACTATCCCAAATCCCAGAAGGATTTAGTTAGCAGATGACATTGTTGATTTCTTTGATACATTGCAAATTAATGTTTTTCTTTATCTTGCAGAAAATGATATTCATTATTATTTGTGTAATTATTTTGCTTGTGATCCTTGGAATTATCCTAGCAACAACATTGTCATAGCAACCATATCCCAAGAGCCATTTATCCTTGGAGACTCAGACCACATCTGCAACCAGATGAGCATCCTGTCATTTCGTGAATGAATCTCAGACGCTGTAACCCGGCATTGAGGACTGACCTTTTAATTTACGAATTCATGGAAGAAGCACAACCGAACGTCTTGTTCAGTGAAAGCGCCGTAAGCACAGTGGGCGTGATGCGTGACCCTGAATGACACACTACAGGATGTGAGCAGTGTGAGCCTTCTCTCTCACTGGCCTTGAACTAAGAGAATATTGAACATTTTAATATTAAAAATATTTCAGTGTTACAAATGTGCATGAAGTTTAATTAGGAAGGACTGCTTTATGTTATAAAGCTTTTTTTAATTTTTTGAGATGGAGTCTCGCTTTGTCACCTAGGCTGGAGTGCAGTGGTGCGATCTCGGCTCACTGCAGCCTCCACCTCCCGGGTTCAAGCAATTCTCCTGCCTCAGCCTCAGAGTAGCTGGGATTACAGGCACGTGCCACCACGCCCAGCTAATTTTTTGTATTTTTTTTAGTAGAGACGGGGTTTTACCATGCTGGCCAGGCTGGTCTCAAACTCCTGACCTCGTGATCCACCTGCCTCAGCCTCCCAAAGTGCTGGGATTACAGGCATGAGCCACCGCGGATCCACCTGCCTCAGCCTCCCAAAGTGCTGGGATTACAGGCGTGAGCCACCGCGCCCGGCCGTTCTGAAGCTTTTGGACCTCAGGTCTAAGGCTTCCTTTCCCCCTCTCCCAGCTAGTATGTGCTAATTAAGAGGCCTTTTATACTGTTGTGTTTATTTCCTGTTGGAAGAAATAATTTTTATCACAGGTTTTTGTAAGATATCTATAATTTTAAATGTTGATAAATTGTTTAATATATTAGCATCTTACCCCATTTTTATATACTGAGTGTGGCCTTTTGAGTGAAACAGGAAGCTTCATGGCGTTGGAGCTACCTTTTACAGTTGTTTACAAAGTTTCCCCTGGTCACAGAAAACATTGGTTCCAAAGCCCCTCAAAGCCCCTCAAAGCCGCCTCAAGTGCCTTCTGTGAGTTTAAATGTGCTGGTGCCCTCCAGAAACGCCTCGGCCTCAGCTCCATTTCTGCCTCTTCCCTCCCCTGGGGTAATGAATGGTTACTGCACTGTAAAGACCATGGTCTCTTTTCACTAAATATGAGATTCGAGTTTCCCAGTTTGCATGGATGAAGTCTGAATTTAAGAAGGTGATGAAACCGAGGTTCAGTACTCTGGGGACTCGAGGAAATTATTCCTAAGACATGGAGTAATTCTTATCAATTTAAACTATTGGACAGATCACGTACATGTTGTTAAGTACCTAATGTTTTGCTGAACTTTAAAAGTTAATTTCCAAAATGTATAGGAATTCATGATAATTAAACCTTTTTATTGCTCATTTTTTTTAGTAGAAGAATATGACTTATTTTTAGACTTGTAAAATGTATGAACTGGTGAACGGACATCTGTTAAGAGAGTAACTGGTCAGAATTTTAAAGGAGTGCACGAAGGATGCCCCAAATATCATTAACTCTTGTGACTCCTGTATGTGATGGTATAAGCATGTGACTTTTAACACTGTTTGGTTTGAAACTGGGATGCCTGATTCCAAACAGTGGGTGTGGAGAATATTGAATAGCTTAGAAGCCGCGTCCCTTACTGAACACAATTCCGAGTCTCCCTCATCCGTGACGCGTCCGTTGGATCACTCGATGGTGGTCACTGTGTGGCAGTTATTAGGGGAATTCTGCCTCTGTTTTTTTTCTTTTGGTCTTTAAACACCCTGTCATGGGATGTGCTCACTGATTTGTGGCTTCGTTGAAGGTATCACTTGTCTTGCGGGTTTTCAATATTTCAGGATCACGCTGGTGGCAGCAGGACTCCACGCCTGCATGGAATCACGTCCACGGGGGGACCTGCCTCCCGTGATGTCCCACTTTTCCTTCAAGCTCTGTCATATGAGTCCTCCCCTTTTGCAACACTTATTATGGTATTTTTCAAGTTATTCATCTTAGATTTGCAGTACCTGCTGATGTTTGTGTTTTTATAGTTGAAGTTATGAAAATGCTATTTGATTTGTATTTAGATATTTAAGTCACTTGTCCAATGACGTGTATGTCTAAGCCTCATGTACCGATTTGAAGTCAGACTTAAAAATGTATTTACAGATTCACTTGTGACTTTTTAGTCAGTTCTTCAAATATGTCATGTTTACATTAAAAATTTCCAGAGAAGCATAAAAGTATTCACTTCCTGCTTTGTCATTTCTGGAAAGATTTTGGGGAGATATTTTATTGCATATTCATTAATAAATTGTTCTACTAGGAAAATTGCTCTTGTGGCTCTTACGTGGAATGATGTGAGTAATTTTGGAAGTATTTGGTAATTTTTTGATTATTAGTGTTATATTACAAGCTTCTGTTGTTCACGGCTCAGATGTCAGTACCATGTGGTAAGGGACTCGCCGGAATTCTTGCTGTTTCTAACAAATACCAATTCAGTGAATTTGGGCTCTATCTCAGAGTCACTCTGTTGGAATTCTTCTGTCAACTTGACACATTCCATTTGTTAATGGGGGGGATCTCCCTGTCCCTCACTATGTTCTGAGTTATTTATCCTCTATACTTAATCCTCTTTCAGAGTTTTTCTTATTAAGTAGAATTTCTTTACTTCCTCAACGCTTACCGAATTCTGATCATATTGGAAAGTGACACTTGCAAACCACAATTTAAAAACAAGAGAAGATAGAAGTGTAGAAAACTAATTCATGGAGACAGAGCCCTAGATGTTCATTTTAATCTCCTATTTCTCTATTTCTCCCAGAATGAATTTCCTTTCAAATCAGCCGTGCACAGTCAATAACTTATTTATACTTTTTAAAGACAGCGTACTCCTATAGTATTTATTGCCTAAATGACTTTTTATGAATGTCTTCAAATCTACAATCACATCCTTTCATGAGTTTAAAAAGTGGATTAAACCGAGGTGGAGTTCAAACTGGAAAGGTTGCATATCCACCGGACAGGGGCAGAAAAACCAGGAAAACCTGCTTGGCCCCCGTGGAGAGTCCCACTCAGCCCCCGGGAAGGGGGAGGGCTGGGTCCCCCACACCGTGGCCAGGGCGCAGACCCTCTTCCCGCCCCCGCCCGCGCTGCCTGACTCCCGTGCTCTGCTGAATATAAACGCGTGCCCCAGGCGTGGGTCTGTGGCCAGTGCCGGCGCCTGCGGAGTTGCCCGGGTTTCCCTCCCTAGGAGCGCTGGACGGCTCCTTATTTTAGTTGCCACCACAACACTCACTGTTGACAAAGGCGAGCCCTTTATAAAGGAAAGAACAGACCATACGGGGCGCACACAGCTTCTCAGATGACTGGAAACCAGGCCCTCGGCGCAGCAGAGGAAAAGCCTCATGCGGATTTTCCTAGTTGGTTTCACACGGAACGGAATGGACCTGGTAGCACGCAACCTTTTGTTAAGTTCTGGTTTAAAGATTTTGTTAAAATTCGTTTGTGCGCGGTGTGGGAGGGGTGGAGCGTCACACTGTGTTTAAAGTAAGAACATTCAGACATCCAGAGGCAGGAGCCCTCCGGAGATGGCTCTGATTTTCCTGGCGTCAGAGGAGCTATGGAAATGCGCGCCAGGCCTTCAGTGACTGGCAGGCGGCAGGCTGTGGCGTGGCCGGCCCTGTTTCATTGTTTTCCGTTTGAGCAATAAGAGAAATTGAAGGCAGCACGTGGCCCTCCTCTTCTGACCCGCAGCCTTTGACAAAAGACTGCAGATTCCTAAGCCTGAGAAAACAGGGCCTCTGGCTTCTTGCCAGGGAGAGGTTCCAGAGAGCGCAGAGGGGGCCTTGCCTCCTGGGGTGGGGTGACCTGGGCCTCCTGGGGCCTCAGTTCCCTGCCTGTGAAAAAGACGGATGGAGTTGGAGAATCCCAGGGTGGCTTTCCAGGACTAAAGACTGTGCCTTTTTCATTTCATGTAAATTCCATGCTTCGCAAGTTCACCGAGGAGCGCTCTCCCGGGGCCCAGTCTCTAGGTGACACCCAGCCAGGTGATAGCTCTCCTTTGCCTTTCTTTGCAAATTGTACTTTTTAATGTGTCGCTGAGTTTGCTAAAGCAGGTTGCCCTGTGAGTAGAGTACAACGCTGGTCGTCAGGCGGGGAAAGTGACAGTGTTCTGAAACTGTTGAATTTCCTGACCATGCACCAGGCTCGGTGTCTTGGAGCAATGCGGGAAGGCCGGTGTTGCGGCGGCCGGAGAAGCACAGCTGCAGATACTAACGCAGGCCTGGTGAGCAGGAAGCCGGGCGTGGCTCAGGCGGAGGGGAGAGGCCAGGGCAGGTCTGACCCCGCCATGGGAGCCGGGCTCTGAGCTGGAGAGCGAGGTAAGGTTCTAAGCGTCATGTCTGGAGGAGTGGGCAGACTGCAAGGGTTGCACTGAAGTGAGACTGGGGCTCTGTGACGGCCTGGGGGTGAGGCCGTGGAGCACGGGGTGTTGTGGGCAGCGGACTCTCCAGCTACTTCCTTTCCGCCTGTGTGGCATGGAGAGCTGGATCTCTTAGGACTCAGTCTCCCCAAAAGTTCGTGTCTACAAGCTGGTGTGGCCTTGGGTCAAGTAGCGCCAGGTCCCATAGGACCAAGACGTGGTCCATGTAGCTCCCAACATTCCCTGTGTCCTCTGTGCTCCCACTAGGAATTAGGACCCAGACGCTAAAACACTCAAGTGTAGAGGACTGCCCCGGGCGCAGGGGCGGGCGCAGTGCGGGGAGGGGGGCCTCTGTCGCTGGCAGGCTGGCAGCAGGCCTGGAGGGAAGTATTGTCGGCCATTCCTTCGTTGTGTTTGAGAAAGTGCTTTACTGAGGTATAATCCACCATACATTCATCCATCATAACTGTGTAATTATATGATTTTAGTAATTAATAGAGTTGTGTCACCATCACAACCCTCTTTTTTGGGAACATTTCCATCACCCCAAAACTACCGTTATGCCCATTTGCTGTTAGTCCCAGCTCCCATCCCGGCGCTAGGCCACCCCCGGCAGTGCTTTCTCTCCATCAGTTTGTCTTTCTGGACGTTTCCTCAAAGTAGAGTCAGGCATGAGGCCTTCTGCATCTGGCCTCTTTCACTCAACAGCGTCACCGAGGCGGTCCCTGTGAAGCACGCGTGGGTAGTCGGTCCCCTTTTGCTGCTGAGCTTCCTTTATTGTAGGGGGACACTGTCCCTTCGCCACCTCACGGGCATTGAACTGTTGCCAGTTTTTTTTTTTTTTTGAGGAGTCTGGCTCTGTTGCCCAGGCTGGAGTGTAGTGGTGGCAATCTTGGCTCACTGCAAGCTCCGCCTCCCAGGTTCACGCCATTCTCCTGCCTCAGCTTCGTGAGTAGCTGAGACTACAGGCGCCTGCCACCACGCCTGGCTAATATTTTGTATTTTTGGTAGAGACAGGGTTTCACCGTGTTGGCC